GCTTTATTAACTTCACATTCTATGCATCTCAGAAATGGAAGTGCGGACGGTTAAAATGGTTGCATGAATAAATAAGTTTGAGGTTGTTGTTCTGCTCTCATTTTATCCAAAGAAATGTTGATTCATATGCAACTTCAAGTTGCTTCAGGATATTATTTTCTCCAAAAACTTTAAGCACACTGTAGAAAGTCTGCTTAGCCGTAACGGTCCTGCAATTACCAAAGGCTTCCCAAGCTCGCAAAGCATTATAAAATGATATGTATGCCTTGTGTTAAGATGAAGGAGTGTGAATTCAGGTCTTGAGGCCTCCTGAAGGCCAAAGACGTGTTATTCGACGAGGAGATGTATTTTAAAATAAATTTCGGCCTGGGCTCTCGGAATGGCGCCTATGTCAGCCACCTCGCCTTGGCGGTGCTGCTTTGACCAAGACGCCGAGCAGCGGAGCAAACACTTGACATGTTGCAGCAAAGTCAAGCACTTAATCTCGATTTTGCGTTGCCTTTAAAAGGCAGCGCTTGCCGCATGATAGAGAGCAAGCACTGTTTTTGGGAGGCTGGTTAGTGGCAGATTTTTCAAACTCTTCGCATCACTGATTAATTACAGCCTCGAATTTGGTCGTTTTTGTTGGAATATTTACTTTGCAGCTCTCTTGTGGACAACACTTATCAACAAAAGGTGTTACATCTATATCCAGAACAAAAAGAACATTATAAAAGGCGAGATCATATAGTCGCCCACTTTCCATTTGAAAACAACTGAAACTCCGATGCTTATGCCTTAAAATAAACCGGGACTCTACTTGTAAGAAGGCGTCATTCCTCGGCTTCATAATCATGTCACACATCACGACATAACTTCTCGTCGTCTAATTAGATCACGTGACTGAGAAGTTTTACTGAAACTTCATTTCGTTGATTGCATAAAAGCTCTACTGTATGCCATGTGCATCGTTCCTGCGTGACTATCGTAGGTTTCCGGCAATGCTCGCTCGTCATGCAATGCCTTGTTTAGGTCGGCGCTACGGTCACTTCCCACTACTCACCCACTGACATGTCCCTTACACCAAACGATTTCACCTCCTTTCATCAACTCAAAGGCAACCTCATGGTGTTGCATAATCCCATGATGACTAGCCATTGGCATCTTGTTTAAAGGCTACTAAAATCTCTTTTTGTATAAAATACTCGCGCCAACTTTTAGCTACTTGACCTCAAACCTCCATTATTTATCTCAATGCCAAATTTATGCTTATATTTTTTTTTGCAAAGGAGCTTTGATTGTCATGTGAAAATGCTCATCTCATGTAAAATTTACTTGCCACAACTCGATGCTGGAGTTAGCGTGAGATCCGCGGATTTATTTCAATAAACTATTTCGTTTCATTTCGGTTAGACCACTTCCAGAATGCAAAGTGAATTAAATGCATGTTGAATTTTGGTTCGAGAGGAGGATTTAACAAACTGTTTCCTTTGCTCATCTACTACTTGACTGTTCGGTAAATGGAAAGTTATTTTTACCACCACTGCTGGCTTGCTTAGGCTAATTTGATAAGTCTTCTTGTAATCCAAGCGAGTTGTCTAAATACGCCTCGTGAAGTGGAGAAGAAGACTCTCTTAGGCATAAACATTTTCTCCTCTCTTGCCTTCCGCTCTGATAATGTCCAGTACAGCCTCCCTACGACGGCAAACCCTTAAGAAGCCTGATAAGGAGAAAGCCGAGGCAAGCACCAATAAGGGTACAGTCCTCTGGAATTATGTGGAAATTACTTATACTGATCAGTGTCGAAAATTTTCGGCAAGTTATTATAATTCAAGAGGAAACATGTGGAACTCGGTTTTCACCAAACATCTAAATGCTACGTTCTTTCTTAATGAATAGCCTGATAAGTGCATACTGACCATCCTATTTGGGATACTGTGGCGCCATTACTTCGATGTGCCTCAATACGTGGGTCTAGGAGACGAATGTCAGTCGTTAACACCCGTGGGCTGAAGAGGAATACTTGACATCGTCGCTGCCGGCCCCTTTCAGCAGCCTCAACCGAACTCAGAATTCCATTCGACATGTAAACAGGACTCAAGGAGTGGTAATTCTATTGTTCATCATTTGTATCTGGCGGCCGCCTAAAACGGACTGATGAAAGAAAATGATGGATAAAGATTAATGCCATTGACGAAATCTGGGATTAAATACAGTTGTGCAAACTTCGCAATAACGATGCTCTATAACAGGTACCGCCTCAGTTGCTGGTAACAGCATTCCTTTGGGACATGGTCATAGGACATTGAAAGCAGAAAACAGTTCCAATGTTCCCGTTGTGAAGAAATCAAAATCTCCCACCTTTAGAATATAACTTTCATTACACTGTTAGATTTTAACACAATCGGTGGTGAATAGGATTGACGTCGTTCCATGGCTGCCCCCTCTTTGCACTGTGTCAAGACTTTGCATTGGGTAGCAGTAAGCACAAGACTTAGCCGCATGAGCACAACAGCAGTGAAGAGATGGGACTTTTGTCATGGATCAAAGGTCAGTACATTCAGTCGAAACGGTGGTCGCCACTCATAATTACAGTCTAAAAAACTAAGCTTCGCCCTATGGTTGCAAAGAGTAAGAGAGAATAAGTGTTGATTGGCAAGTAAGTGGATGAGGCTGCATCTGAATGATTTTTCATTCTACTCAAATTCGAACTTCTTGATGACGATTTCCTGTTTTTTTTGGACACTCGAATCCTTACACCTATTTTATATCTAACATTTAAAATGCCCCGCTACAGCTGTGATCGGCTCGTCCTTTGTCTACTGTTAGCTTTCAAGTTAATGGATAAATTCGACAATTAGCAGTCTGACTATGTCTACTTTTTGCGGTCGAGGCGCCCACCTCTTACGTTACCTAAAGGCCAGTGTAATGCTTTGCTTATGTGGCCACCTGTTGTCTGGTGGTAACTTTGGGATTCGTTTGACCCTTGTACGCGTGGGCTGGCCTTCGGGCCATGCTCAGATCTAATTACTTTGTTCCCCTTGGAATACATGTATTCAGCTCTACTTTATGTCTCATTGAACTCGGTGGGAAGTCACGGTATGCTACAGTAAGAGAGGCATTTGTTTTTATAAATGAAATCTACTCGCACACTTTCATCCATTAAAACCTAATCGAAAGACCACTTTTGAAAAACTACTAAGGTAAAGGCACTCAACGAATTCAGGCACTATAGACGTGCAGTTATGAACAGAAGAGGCAATAAACTTCGCGAAATGATCTATTAACAGTTTGCAAATACAACTTTACATTCCATACAGGCATAAAGGGCTGTATCCCTAGTGTAAGGCAACTTTTGGAAGCCTTTACGCATATCGTCGACAAAAGGTGTACAGTTACAAGCAGTGTCGAAGAGATGAGAAAAGCTTTGGATGCTGGCGTGTGGCAGTGTCTGGCACTCACCTCTGTTAGGAGGGGCCCATTTTCCTTCTTAATCCCCTTCGTAAGCTGAGATGAAGTGCCCTTGTGTTAAATAAGGAAAGCGATCGGCGATTAGGCATTTGTTCGATGGTTCAAGCCATTTTGTGAAATGTATCTTAACTATCGCGCTTTTGCTTCCTGTTTTCGTGTAGACTTTACTGCCTTCTTTACAGATACCCATGCGATACAAAGAACCATCTTTGAGAATAAAAAATGCAGCTACACTTGGAATGTTTCGGTTTATGTTACCTTCACTGCTATATTTTCTTGGCACGGCCTCTAACTTATGGCAGTACAGCTGCGATAATAATTAACCGCAATATCAATGATCTCTTCAGATAAAAATCCAAATTTGGGATCTCAACAGATCGGGAATTGCCAAAGAGAAGGGCATTGACCTGAGGGTAGTATTAATGGACGAGGAGCAGAGTTTAAACCACTTTTGTGAGATGCCACTTCTCGGATTAAATTTTGTCATATTGTCCAAATTTGACGGAGACAGTGTCGCGTTTTCAGCTAAGTGTTATCTTTATACAGGCGGAGCATTGTGGCAAACTTTTAGATTATTCGTACCGAAAGTCACTTTGGCGCCCTAAATCATTCCTGCACAACACGGAACTGAAGTGGTTGAAATAGAGGCACATCGTTTGAAAACCCTTCTTTCAAATGTAAATTAGGTTCACCACTTTATGCTCTCCGAAATCTTTCCCATGAACGCCATGAAACGAAAATGGATGCATAAGTAAAGCGATTAAGCCACTCCACAGAGATAAGAGAAGTACATGTTGCTAATCTCATACAATTCCAACGATGTTCATTAGCAATAATAACCAAATTCGCCTTCTTCATGGAAGTCCGCAGAGGACTCATCCACCTAAGCTTTGAACCAACTCAATTTGAGAAAATAAAAGTGAGGATAGAGTTATCCTTTGGAAAGAGAAACCCAAATTAGAGTATCGCCAATTAAGGTACTGACTTGGGTTGACTGCACGGTCCGAGAGGTGCACAAAATCTTGATTGTTTTCTTTGAATATCTGATAAACCGGATAGGCTTTGAAACTCTCATTTAACTACTAAATGTACTTTCAAAGAACATACTGAAGTCCAAAACATAAATATTTCCTTCATCATAAGAACTGACGGTAAGATGTATGGCTACAGTTCCGCTTCCAAAACGTCACAAAACAACAAATCACTCAACGAAGGCATGGATCATACCAGAGCTGTATCAGAAATTTCGTTAGTCTACTTAATCCCTGATCTGACATGCACACACGGACCGTACCCAAAACGCCTTCAGTGACAAAGCCACTGCTACAACGTATTTTAGGCGTCCCTTGTTATTCACTTAAGGCTTTAAGCGTTTTGCAAAAAAAGAGAACAAAACAGTTCTCAAAGCCCAGCCAAATTTTCCTATAGCACCTTTAAAACTGCTCCCCAAATAAACCAAATGAATAACCTAAAGTTGGAACAGGAAATACTGTGATAATCACATCCATGTGCTCCACTAACAGCATAGAGTCGCGCTTTCTACCTTTTAATCAAGAGTCTCTGTACACGTCCCACACATTTAGAGATCCAAAGCCCCCCGCAGAAGCTGGTGCAGTTGTTATAAGCCACTTTGAGGGAAGGAAGAGGGCTCCACGAATAGAGAGCGACTGATCCCGATCTACAGGAGTTAGCTTAGAAGGATCAGTTGAGATGGAGGACCAGTCTCCTAGCAGAGTACCGCCGCCAACAACCGCTCCAGGGCTGCGTAGATTACCAAGACAACGAGCGCGACCCTTGCGAGTCACGACGAAACAACGGATGTCACCGTTCCATTGGCCGGCAGCCAGCAGTCGGCCATCATTGCGCCAAGTCAATGAACTGATTCCATGAGACTCGTTACTGAACGGCTGTTTTGTGCACCGCTCAAGAACGAAGTTAGAACGATCTGAAAATGAGGGAGAGTTATTGAATTTTAAGATTTAGGTAAAGTTTAGTTACCGTAAACTCGATGATATCAGGCAATCAGTAAAAAATATGCGTACATAAGTAGAATGAAAGTGAATCAAGTGAAAATTGAGAATGAGTGCAAGCCAGAAGGAGGACTTTTATTTTTGAAGTGAAAAAAAGACATCTTTACGATGGAAAACCAAGGGTCAGGTGTTTATAGCCAAAAACAATTCACTTTAACAACATTTGTGATTGTACGGGAGATTCATGAGCTATTGAAAGCCATTCAAAATACTTGCATATAACGCACAAACAACAGTTAAGAAAGACTATAAAAATTTTGAACTACAATTTCTGCCTCAAGTGATTAGCCAATGAAGGCGGATTTTCAAGTAAAACAAGACTCTAAATAATAAACTGGGTTGGCTAAGTTATAGTAAAAATGCCAAACCTTCAGAGGTCAGCTTGAGAAGCTCGAAGTCAGACAGCTTTTCTTCACCATCAGCTACAGCAGACCTACCCACAGCAATTAGCACCATGGATGCATCGACAGTGAAAGCTGCCAGACATGTGATTGGTCGAATGTCAGACGACGAAAGAGGCGAGACTCGGGCTACCTGTCTGCCCTCTATAAAGAGTACCACGCAGCCTGCCTCGAATCCCCCCAAAAAGCAACAAGTTCCGCTGCATGTAACTCCACTCAGTGCCATACACATGCCAAGCCGGGAGATTTGACTTGCGTCCACGGAGCAGACAGTCAAATTGTCCAATGATCGAATTACCTCCAGGGTGACTGCCGAGGCGTCTTCCTCATCCACTCCAACAAAGGCAAGGTAATGCTCAGTGTGGCAGCCATTGTTAGGTTGCCAGATGTTGAAGGGACAGAGGGTATGCTGGCAGCAAACCACTTCTAGCAAGGGTTCTTAAACATTACTGGGAATTATTTAACCGATTGTGCATTACAATTATAAAGGAAGTGTTTAGACATACTTGGAGATGGTGCTAAATCAGTGTCCCAAAACCTAATTTTGCCATCTCTACCCTGAGAGATGAGACAGATTTCACGTGGCACTGCTTTCCAGGGGGCCACAGCCAAACCAATGACCTGAAAACAAAAACCAATGAAATGGGAATGGAATGAGCATATGGATTATGGGGCAATAACAATTTCTCAAAACCTGAGACTGAGAATGAGCCAGCCAAGCTGCGCATTGACGCTTCTGGGCGAAATTGCAAGCACTGATTTGACCGTCCGCATGTCCGGCAAAAAGTACATCCTTTTGTTCTGCGTAGGCAATACAGACACACGATTTTACTGACTCTGTGCCTTTTATGCCCACAAGAGGTAATGAGAACGCTGGAAGCTATAAAAAGGCAAGGATTTTAATGCATGTAGAGTCGAATTAGCAATGTCGACACAGTATGTTCAATACACATTCACAAACAGTGCAGAATGAACAGCATTTCTTTGAATTATATCCACATTTACCCATAAAGTCGAATCCCATTCCAGATACTACGACAGAAATCTGAATACTCAAAACCAAAGAAAACACTTTCTTCAAAATATTCAAGGACCTAGGCGACCTAATGTTAAAAAAAACTTCGGTCTCTCTCTTTAAGAAAAAAAGGTGTTTATTAAAAGCCTACTGGATCGCAGCAGCTGAGTGCAGTAGTAACAAGCAAAATATCCAGAGGTTTTCTCTGAGTCAATCGAAAATGAAAATCACCTTCCATCCAAAAAAAACTCAGGCAGAACACAACCTCATATTCAACCCCTTCAAGCTGACCAAACATGTAGTGCTCCTTTAAGAGCGTGACACCTGGCTACGCGAAGAGAAGCTGTTAAATCAAGATATAGTGAGCTACTCGTAGCGGTTAAGTTTTCTGTCACAACTTAGATAAACAATGCGTAGGTCCCACGACGCGAACAATACCAAATCATCGTTGATTTCGAACACACACAAAGACACACTTTGACTCAAAACCTTCACTATCTTTAATGAATAATAATAACTTGCAAAATAGGTTAAACCAAAATGTCAAAAGATGGGTCGCTCTCAGGAGAAGACCGAAGTGAGGGGATCGGAAACCAGACGAGACCAACTTATCGACCTTCCCGTTTACCGAAGGCGAACGAGGTCTTACCTAAGAGGACAAAATAAACCCACTGTTTGTCTGCTCCAGCTCAATTCGATGTTAAGTTCATTGTAACATGGACCTTACTCTGTGGCTGGTTCACCTTGAGTAATAGCCCAGAGAGGATTTGTAAAAAAGCTGCCTTGTCACACGCATTAGTTTCGAAATATCCAACTAAAGAGAAGGAAGACTAATGTTACGACGCCTTTAGCATTATCGAAGTCGGATAGAGCCCACCGAAAGTTTGAGTATCTAATCCACGGACCAGAAGCTAAGCAGTTCCTGTAAGCATCGAAGGAGCATCAGATTCTTGCGACCGCATTCAATTTGGATTTTAATCCAGAAATGCCTACCACTACCAGAACAGCATCTCTTGGAACAATCCTTGCAATTGAATAACAATTTGTGCAACGGAATAACTCTCCTAGATTCTGAAAATGCACAAACCTTTTTCTTTGTGGGCCCAGGCACTTGGTGAGATAGTTTCGAATTTGGAACTTCTAGGTTGGTCATTTTTATTTCCAATAATCACTGTTGGCAGTTCACGCTTTTCCTTCATAGAATCAATCTATAAAATATCAAGTAACCACTTTATCCATCAAATCAACACCAAAGACAAAACCAAACCAAAATTGAAGCTTCTTCCTTTGCACATCCGTTAAGAAAGGCAAATCAGACGAGTTATGAAGCATCAAATGACTTACTTCCGCCTTTATTTTCTGCATCGCAACAAAGGAGTCAAAACTAGTGATATCGAAGACCAGAACAAGAGCGTCAGACGAATTAACGAAGTGTCGACCTATAGAGGTGTTCGTACCACCAATCTCGTATACGCGAATTTTCTCTTGACCATTTTTTTCAGTTGATATGTACAATGTATAAGTATCCTCATACGTCGGCAGCTAACAAATTTACAGTTAGGTTGTATGTTAATGATGTACGTGGTTTTCAAGATTCGGAAGAACGCCCGTAGGATTTTCAACGGAGTAGACCAAAGTGGTTTTTCCAGCCCCTGAAGGACCGCAGAGAAGGACCTTGGTCATGCGAACCATCTACGAAGGAAACTCGGTGAGGGCGTGCAAATTTTGTAAAACATATGGATGGAGGAGAGTGTATTTTCCGAACGGATAAAAATAAGAGGGAATAGATCACCAAATAAGAAGGAGCAGTTAAAAGTTCAACAGGGTTTTGACCGACTACCTACAACAGAGTGGTCCGCGAACAACACTAAAGCAGACAAACTTCACACAACAATAATGACCTTGGCCGTAAGCTATCCAATCTCAATTTTCATACTGTAAGACAGTCATGCAAGTGTGTAAAATTTTAAATAGTGTCAACCGCATTTTTAACTTATAGGTGAGCGTGATTGAATGATGCCTTCGTGCCTACTAAAAAGCGACTCTATGTAATGCGAAACTGTGCACTTACAAGACCTTTGAATTTTGTGCTGTCTAATTACTATAAGGACCAGTCGTGAGATCTGCCTGCCTGCCTCCAGGCTTCTGAACCTCGAACTTCAGGAAAGGGCCAGTCGAGGAAGCTTTATAAGCAATCGTGCACAACATTAAAGGGAATGGCTGAAAGGGGAGAGAACTGATGAGACGGAAAGCTATTTTGGTCCAGATAACGTCTTTTCACGCCCTTTATGAACTGGGTTCATGTTCGAATTGCTTTCCTGCGTCTATCTATAACTGTCATTCTAATACTTCCATTTTTATTAGTCTATGGGCTTTAACCAGGTGTTCACCATGCTAAAATAGAGCTATTTTCCAGGGAATGCGTCATTCAACTTCAGCAAAGTTATGGTAGAGCGCCTGGAGACCTTCCGCCCTATGAAAAGAAGCATTGAGTTAAGACGCATGTATTTATCATTGGAGAAGAAGAACGGATCGAGCTTCAGCTTGGCCCAAAAGCTAGTTTGGGCTCACAAGGACCAGGCAAATACCTCACCATTTCTATGCAATTATATGATGTCTGGCGGTGACTATGGTATTTGTCTTTTTCTTGTACGTATAAGCTGGCCTTTAGGTCAAGCCAACGCCTACAATACAGGTAGCCACATAAACAGTGCTCCAAATGAATATTATGACGGTGTGTACTGCTGCAGTATCTCGCAACTTTCCATTTTATATTTGAAAGCATTAGGCGCGGCTAGGTTCTGATAATGGAGTAGAAAGGATATATGTGAGGTTTTGGCCTAGTTTGAAGGACATTCTACAAGGAAAAAGCAAAATGGTCGCCAGAGTGATCGCCGTCTATAGAGGTAGTCGAATAAACAAAATATTACAAATGCCCCATACATCTGTTCAGCTCTCACCCTTGCCAGCGCTTTTAAAGATACTCCTCGTCCATCTGGTCCCCTTATTTAACAGATCTTCTCACAGGCCCTAAGGTACGTCTTTTACTGACAGTACACGTTCTATGTACAAGGCAGTCCCGAAGTGTGATACATTGTAATGCATTGGTTATTTGACTGTCGAAAAAATAGCGGTCATTTGGGTGAAAATGTTGCTTTTATTGGTTTGTCCAACCCTTCAACATTTGATAAGAATCCATTCCCATTCACCTTTGCTCGAATTTATGAATTAATTCAAGCAATGCGCCCTCTCTCATCGAATCGGAAGTCTCGGGACACTACGCGCTTAACTTGCTGTTTAAGCATCATAAACTTTGGTGCCACCTGCATATAATGTGAGCATTAGTAAGCTCGCTGTTTGTGTGAATGAACATTCAGCCAAACATAATTAAATCGCTAGTTTTGATGGTCTCCAAGACAGGCCAGCTGTAGCTTCTTAAGGTTTCCCCAGATATAGGTGAAGGCATAGAAATTCTAAAAGAACGTACAAGATCAGCAAGCGGAAGAAAATTAGAGCACTTAGGGTCTCGGATACAGTAATATGACCGACGAAGCGATCGCAAACGGTACCGGAAGTCAGATAAGCAATGCCTCTCACAGCCTTCTACTTTAAGCAACAGCACTCTCACACTCCTCTCCACCAACCTCTGTGTCAGCCATCACAATGCAATCGGCGCTGATAGAATACACTCACCATCCATCACATCACTCACCAATCCTCATGCAACTGATGCCAACCATTCCACATCAATGTCACCAATCTCCCTTCCATCTCACTTGCAGCTGGATCCAAGGTTTCGTCCGACGTGGAAGCATTCAACTACCCATCATATGTGCCAATGGTTGCACCATGAAACACTGGTCTGAAAAGCGACTTGTGGAAAGGAGTGGGAGAGTTGGCACAGTCCTGTGTGGGGTGAGTATGGCGCATTTTGGAGGAACTGTGAGACAAAATTGCCTCTCACAGCTCACAGCAGGTGTTGCTTCTGTTGCTAGTGGATTTTGTGCGGAACACGGGAGTGTACAGATGTCGGAGAGTGGCGCTGATGGCAGACGTCATTCTCAGACCTCGTGATGTGGACAAAGTCAGAGGTTTCCATACACATTGTACACGTACATCACTCACGATGTTAAGGTTTGCACCAACAGAATCCACGAAACACATGTGACCCTCCACTATAAACCATCATCACCCATCCTTACACCATATTTCGCACTTCCAATACATAATTTGGTACCCATATTTTAGATTGCTTTTTGTGCTTAAATTGGCTCATAGTGATGCAGATCTTTGATGCTCATTACTTTATGAGACTGTACCTTACCTACTTCCATGCTTCCCTCAGACATCACCTTATTCGCACCACACATTGGTAACTGTTGCTTATTTCCTTCACCGAATCGCTCAAGGCATTGCTTGTCAATTCACTGCATAGATTTGTGAATGCAATCAGTCATACAGTCACGATTTTCCATTGAAAACACGACGACTACACTTCCATGACCTAACACACTCACTGGTTCAAGTCAGAATCCTAGCTGTAGTGAAACTAAAAAGATTTGAACAGATTTATCTCAACATTTCATGAATTAAACATGTTTACATCACATTGGCATTGTATCATCCCTCGTTTTCTTCAAAAATAAATACATTTTAAACCAAAATTACACAAACTAAGAGTAAAATTGAAAATTATTTGCATGAATCATCGGTATGTACAGAGTTTGTCGACAAATTTTTGGCTCATCTTAATGTGCTCCAACTCGGGATCATCCTCATTGACATGATAGGAGGCGAAGTCTCTCCGATCCTCCGGAGTCGCGCTTAATGGCACATGAGTCACAGTGATTCTTGGGGCCAAATGTGGTGAATAGTTAAAACGAGTTGTAAAATTTCCCATTGTAGGAGCATGAACTGATTTATCTCCCCTTTGTGAATGAATCGTGGGCAAGCGTTCGGTGATTACCAGTTTGGCGTAAAGTGAGGGCAGACGCTGCTCCATTTGCATTAGCGCTAAGCCAATTGCAGCAGCAGTTGGAGCTAGAATGTGAACCTGAAAACAGGGCAATCCACGCACGAAAATGACTTTATCCTCGGCAAGAAGTATTCTCCCGCTAATATCGTTCTCAATGGCGAAGATGCGTCGATCCTGAGATCCACTTGAGCTCCTGAGCATGGAACGAATTGGATGATCTGGCGGTAAGTGACATACGAACGGGGCGTGAGGAGCGTTTGCCCAATTATCTTTGTAATCGACGAAATTACCATTCGACATTAGCGAACTTTGGTGGCAGAGTTTGAAGGCCCGAGTAAGAAGCTTATGCCTCGAGATACTGACTCGAAAGGGGAGGACAATGTCGTCAATGTCCGCCGTATCAATGCTGATGAAACACACGAACTCCTCAAACTCTCTTGCCTCTTTCTGCGTCCACTGGCCCCAATTATTCTGTTCAGCTGACGACTTCCAACTTCTGTTAGCGTTGTTCTTGCCTCTTAATACTTGCAGATATTGCACGTACTCCCGTATATCCATAGCGTATTTATCGACAATTTGAGATAACAGGTCTTCCACTCTATGAGGCAACCCTTTCTTATTGTAATCCTCCAACTGCTCTTTGAAGCTTGAAGCGCGTCGAGGGAGTCTTCGTTTCATTTTGGACAACTTCGAACCGACGACCTTCAATGTATGCTGTGAAAGTGACTTACCTCGAACAGACTCGACAGACCTCGGGGTTTGATGGCAGTGAATTGCACAAGAGAAGGGAGCGGAGGGTTCAAACCACGTAGAAGATGACCAATAAGACTCTGGAGAGTCCGGGATTTTAGTACCTGCAGCTGAGCGCCGGGGTGAACTGATGGCATCATCCATGTACTCTGAAGTCATTTTGGGCCTTTGGAGATGTGGGGCACTTTGGTGGGGATAGGTTGGTTCACGTCTATTCTTCGTTACCAAAAATGGAGTTGATATTTGTCGAGTTGCCTTCGTTCCTCCCTTTGACTTTGATTTTACGTCTCCCTTTCCGCTAACTGCGTTGTTATTTCGGTCTAGACAATGTCGGATATGGACCCGTAGCGGACGATTTATTTCTTCGCTTCCATATCTTGGTGAAGGAGGAGTTTTTATGCAGTTAATAGGTCTGACTACTTCTTGTACCGTTCGGTACATGTTTGCTAAAGACTTTTTAGTCTCTATTTTTGGGGTCCGTGAATCGGTAGGAGGCGTGCAATTACTTTTCTTCATACTTCTTGGCGATTTTCTGCATTTCCAAATTACCACATCGTTTCCTAGTGTGTCAGGAAAAGTCTCACATTCGTCACCAAATTCTGAGACCATGCGCCGTGTGCTAGAGCTTTTACGGCATTGCTGGCAACCCTTGGATTTAGGCTGCTTCCTTCTCCTACTCCTACTTCTCACTGCTTTCGGTCTGCGAGTCCTGTTTGCCACCACGGTCTCTTCGTCCATAACTTCTCTTGCCCTCGGGCGATGACCAACTTTTTCTTGTGTTTGCAAGCGGTCTTTGAATTTATGCCTTATTTTCTGTTTATTTTGCTGCTTTTGAAGATTTTCTAGTGTATTCTGTGGCACATGAAAAGGTTTCACATGCTTTCGAGACCTACTGGCGTTTGCCTTTTTGGATCTATGCTTAACCGTACGTGTGGTAAACTCATTCAGTGGCCTTTCTGTCATGCTTTCCTGGACTATCGTTTCCCACTCAGATTGAGCCTCACTGAAACCAGGCTTTACCTCACTGACCTCAAAAAATTCTTCATCTCCCACCAAATCAAGTGTACTTTGTGGCTCTTGCAGACTGTTGCGGTCTCCCACTAAAAAGTCAAAAAATCGGTTCGGATTTTCAATGCTTCCTTGGTGGGCCCACCGCCTGGCTAAGTGGGGGAAAGCCTGAGCTGGTAAGTCATTTTCATCTCTTTCAGACAGTCGCGGAGTGAGTTCAGCATTTCTTCGAATCCCGTAGTCTTCTGTGCCCAACGTAGTAAGCTCATGCAACCCTTGACTGATCAATTCTTCTGTTTTTTCAGCGCTTGGTTGAGTATTGAGGGAGAAAAGCACTTTTGCACTTCTCTTCAAGTTGAGTTTGGTTTCCTCTACCTCATCCTTTGCCTCCTCTTTTCTACCCTCCTCCTTTCCATTTTTCTTCTCACTATTCTCCACCTTAGCTTCATATGATGATCCCTTGTTTGTTAAATTTTCGGTCTCCTCCACCTTTCCTTGCCTGTCTGCGCTCTCTCTTACCTCCAGGACTTCTTTGGTTGACTCCTTTTTAGCCAACTTTGAACTAGTTGGCAGCACCTGGGAAGTGTGTTTCTTCTCCAACTTGTTTGGTGGAATCGGTGGACTGACATGAGGTCGAGGCAAAGTTTCATCCGTTTCTGATCGCAACTCCGATATGTGCAAATATGCTATAGAATCTGTGTCAGAGTCTGCATCACTGGCATGGCAGTTGTTCCATTCTGAGCTTGATGCCGTATCGGCTTCCAAATCGAGAGTGATGCGATGGATAGTTAACAGCATCTTACCGCACCCTTTGCGGGATCGCGAGCGTGAACTAGAGCGAATTCTTTTGGCAATCTTTGAAGATGGACGAGATCTACTTGCTTTGACAGCAGGTGGTTTGAACAACCTCTTGATACGCTTGGCACTATTATTCTGAGTTTCTGAGACTAAGAGAGGAGCCATTTTTTCGTTGTCAAAAGTTTCAGTGTGAAAGGGTGGTGGAGTGTTTTGCCCACTTAGCGGATAACCAATAGCGGAGATCGCCAAGAGGTCCGATACCCACGAATCCCAAGTCTGGAAGGCCAGCAGGCGTTCACGTTCGTGTTCCATTCAATGACATGGCCTGACACTTCCCTAATTCGACACACACACACACACGCACAGATAACACGGTTTGTCATCACATGACCGGAAATCGATGTGTCATGTGTGTAAGATTCGTGTTTAGATAGATGAGGGAGTTCACCGGCACAGTTAAACAGTTAGAAAACGAGAAGACCGGTCTTTTCTTGTGAAAGTCACAACTTGTCTTGAGTAATCGAGAAAAATTTCTCTTACTTCCCGATATCCTAATCCACCCAGTAAAACACATGTCTTTACATCGATCTGCTATGGGAGAGTAGACTCTTTTCAAAAGTCAATCCTTTCTCAGCATTTTAAGCCTTTTGTGCCAGTTATATTTGTTATTGCAACATGCTGTATGTCCAAATTATAGGTACTACCAAACTTGGTAGATGAAAAATCACTTGATTTGAATTACATCAGTTCATGCAAGTTATACCTTCCTTCAACGGAATACCTATTCAAGCCCATCGATAGTCCTCAATGTCTTCTGCACTTTTAGGCAACCCAAGACCAAATTCGACTGCCCTTCTCTTGTAATTACGTTGATTGGCTATTTGAAATTTGCCTTCATGGAAGAGAGATGCCGAGGTGTTAATGACTAAATCCAAAGCTCTTACAACTTAAAAGTGTCTGAAGTACGCTTTTATATTGGGAAGTGTCACACGCATTTGATCAGCTTAAGGTATAAAACAAATGCACAGCGGCACTAGAAAAGGTCAATTCGCAAACCTCCTTCACGGTAATGCTCCCTTTGTAACATGAAAAACTAGAAAATCTTGAGCATTTTGTGGCCCCTACCCCTCGTTAGTATCCAAACGGGATACAGATAATTAGACAAATATAAATCCGACCAAACTTTAGAAAAATTTTTGTCTTTAGGCAAAATTTCCAACGCAGTGAATGAAGTTATCACGTCCACCACCGCTATGATGGATCCGACCACATTGTAATGACTGAATCAAAAGAACCGCTATGAAAACAATGACGGTGGCAGTGGAATTAATGGGCTATTAAAAGTGGCTTGATATTGCAAACTATCACAAAATCATGTCGAGAATTCTGTCAGTGCACTTTTCACCCATTGAACTAACTAAAATCATGTGATAAATAGATGTATATGCATATATGCCAATCTCTCACTCTTTTATGTAAACCCTAACGTACTGTTCTTAGGAAAGAAAACTTGCTCCATACCTAGCTCTCATGCAGGTTTTTTGCCTTCTCTTAGTCTTTCACTTGGTTCGTGATGTAAGGCGTAGTGGTTGTTTAAAATGCGCCTTATAGGTTGGAGGCCTAGAATGAATTCGTACGTCATGCCCGAGGCGAATTAACTCGACCTCCGGACCTCACATTACTATCCCCTGTGTTGTGTAAACTAATGCCAAATAAGGCACGTGCACGTAAACAGACGCCTGAGAGGCCAGTCAAGAGGGCGACTGACGACAGCGATGGCTGATGCTGCAAGTTTTGTCGTGGAGACACGCATGCAACGGCCAACTTAAACACTACCGATTACAAATGAGTGATCGGAGGAGGCTCAAATGTGCTGGCAACTTCTATGCTATTTTAATCATTATGTGATGTTTGCAGAGCAATATTGAGTCCAAGAAATGTACCGGCTTAAAAAAGTCACAGTCACTTGGTCGCAACTCCCAACTACTTATAGAATGAGGTTGCCATAATTCCGATTCATGAGAGGTGTTGTAGGCACACACTGAAAACCTCTGTTCGGCTGCCGATGGACATGTTTCCTGATCCAGATGGCCTAGCTTGCGGGGTATGCCAAAATCCCCATCCTCCTCACTTTTGCTGAATAAAGGCATCGTATTCAAGCACTACCTCTTTTCTTACCTGTGAATAAATGTTGGAACTCTACAAACATTGCTTATGAAACATCTAAAATTGCAAAAACGCCACCACCTATACAAAAAGTTTTTGAATTGTAGCACATTTTTTGGGTCGAATATGTAAAAGTTAATCTTGATTTCAGAACATTTAAGTAAGGACTTTCGTCGAATACAATTAGCTCGCATTGGTCCTGCTTAAAAGTACGACTAAAATGGAAAGTATTTTCTAAAACCAGAAAATTAAATCCATTTGTGGTAAGTGGACTTCTAAAGTACATGGAAAATTAGTTAATATTAAATTTCAATAGATACTATTCAAACAATAGTGAGTGGGAGCGTGAAGGACTCTTTCCTACATCGTACCATATAGAGTGCAGTTTTGGAACTATGACTGCTGGTCTGATATGCGGAAGCCTTCCTGCTATTACAAAAAGCGCAGTTAACCCGGTTTAGGGCCATTCTTACCAAAAATGGCTAAAGTTCAAGGTCTATTCTATTCTTCAGTCGTAGCATTAAAGTATAAGTACATTTTTATTAGCCCTGGCTGATTTTGCTGTATTCGTAAGTTCCATCTAAGGTCAACCAATCACCGGGCTCTCTGATTGGTCGATCAATTTGGTCTGATGTCCTGCCTCCGAGCCAATAGGGAGCTTGCGTTGACGCGGTGGTCGTAGTAGCTGTGCGCGCTACCTTCTACACGATGGGTAGGCGGGAGCTAAGTCCCGATGATTTCCCCGTTGCCGTAGTAACACCCATTCACCTGTCCGTTGCCGTCACAGCCATGGATGATGGTGCAGACGGATCAGGTTTCGAGTCCAATGACACCCTCGTTAAAAGGAAGGCCTTCTGCGTGGACTCATTTATGCTCACACACATCTGCTTTGGGGTGAACTTCAGCTTCCTCGTAATCCATCTTGTGACACTTATATCATTCAAGAAGGTAAGACTGAAGTATCGCTACTACCGCTACAATTGTGGACACTAGTAAGGCTTGGAAATGCTGTTTTCGATTCTGACCTAAGTTGAAGTCTTTAATAACACTATCCCTGGGCTATTTCCATCATTCCCGACTTCAAAGCTTATTGATTATTTTGGGAGTTGTTCCCTTGTGCGCACTCCCAAGTCGAATCATCACCTACAGGCGCAGTTGAGCCTTTGAAGGTGCTTACCTAAGTGATGACACTGACGAAGGTAAGAAACTTTGCCGCTATAGCTGTCATAAGCCAACGCGTCACCTAATTTGCAATTCAGTCCCTTGTGTCTATACATGTAATCTTATTCCCTCATCTGGGGCGGCAAATGTGTTTGTAAGGTCAGGATAATCGACCTTTTCGTGTTTTCATCGTTCACTCCTTACTTTTAGTCGTAACTATTGGTTGTCATCAGATATTTTTTGAAATTCGTCCAAATGGTGAAATTAATGCGATGCCTTACAATTGTTGTGTGTACGAAAATCAAATTCAAACCACTTGGGCAGTATTTAAGAGCTTCTCAATACGGGACACTTTTAAGAAGCCTCCTCAAACGAAAAATGTTGCAAGTATCCGAATTGTCATGAAACGCAGCAGACATGCTGATCTTATTCACTGTTAAAATTATCGAAAAGTTAAAGGTGGACAGAGTTCCTGCCAATTTACCTCATGTGATGCCACTAGGATGAGTCAAGAGTGGTCAGCAGCGACTCCTTTGATGTCCACACTTCTGTTACTGGATATGAAGCAGGTAACAAAGTGTTTCCAGTTGGGACTCACATTCGGAGGTGGCATTTTTTTAAGTAGAGCGACGTTGTCATAAGGGAGTTAGAGCGTTCAACTTCTTGTAACTTTTTGTTTGTCTCATATTAGCTTGGGTGATTTCAGCGGCAGATTTTGATCCTTCAAAAGCATGGCGCTTCTCATCGCCTCCGTGATGAGTGTACCGCATTTAGGAAAGGTTGCGCTACGAGGTGATCCAAATCGTGAATGTACGCGAACACGCACAAAGCCTCAGTCATGGCCGTGCAGGCGATTGTAAGGATATCTAAGTTAGACCTCGCCATGGAGCAGAGTGAACCTGATCATTGATAACTTTCTGAAATGCTCTTTGCATGTCAACCAAGAGATCGGCTCCGCGGTGAAGTAGTCTGCAAACATGGTCGCACAATACGAGCTAAGATCTCTCAGTCACATTGTAGTCTTGCTAATACCGAGCCGCCTACCAGCAGGCCTCCAATGCAGTTGCTGTGCCTTTTCATGTAAAGGCTAAAAGTGTCGGAGGGATCGAAGCAAAATTCAAAAGAGTCGAGTTGCTCAGATTACTACCGACCAAAAACTAACTCTTTGTGAATAAATCTGCAATAAACCGACAGGAGGGGAGGGAGGAAGGGCTATGCAAAATGATCAATTGTTTATGCATTAGGCGAGGCAGCCTCTCCCAGAGCGCATAATGGCACCGGAGGAAATGGTCCTGCTTCAGAAGCAAAAAAAAGCACCCTTTAACAAAGTGAAATTTACCACATAATAACAAATACCTGTGGTACATCGTTTTGTCTTTATGTTTCGCATTTCCATCCAGTTCATTTAGTTAACATTTTAGGGTGAATGCATGTGAAATTGCAGCTGCCTCAACCACAAAAGCGACTACTTGTGTCCCTTATCAGCATGATGAACTTGTCATCCTGTGATAAACAAATGAAAATAGTTACAGCCAGTGCATTCCATTAGCTCCGTTCATAAGATAATCGCATTGAAGTGTTTGGCATAAGTCGATTAGTATTTGGTGAAAAGCTGATCATTTGGTTAGCAACAACTGTGCAACTTTTTAGTTCAAAATACAAGCTACAATCCGAGGAGCTTATTTGGCAATCCAATGCTGACAGTACATGCGCATACGATCGGACAAACCGGTTGTCCACAACGTCAATCACCTGTCTCAGCACACATTGGCAATGAATTTGACAACGCTGATCAATCTATCCAAATTGACGTGGTTCAATTTCTTACTCACAGCGTTTTTCCTAATCCCGGAATAAAGCGTCCAAGTCAAACCGAAGGTTTTGGGTCTGTGCAGGACTGCAGCACCTTTGGAGTATAAAATATTTTTCTCAACACAAACTTCACCCCCATTAACGAATCTTCATTACCTAAGAGGCTTCACCATGGTGATACTTGTTAGCACAGTCTGCCAAAAAAGCAAGGGCTCCGTTCCTGTAAATGGCTGCGTCTATTTTTCCCATCGAAAAATGTGCCATTCATGCAACGAGTTGCGTCAATCAAGCACTCAAGAAACTGAGTAAAATGATAATGCAAATGAGAACACTGTCACCTCATTACGGAAAGCCGAGGTTGAGAAAGTAGGTGACAACTGCACAGTGGTTGAAATATTCACGCTCTTAGGAGTAGCCTAGTAACCGGGTAATTATCTTTTCAAGCAGTCATTAGCATTTCTTGTAAATCATCGCTGACGTCGAAGGCCTCAGTTCCGCTTAAACGCTTGCCATACGCTAGAGAACCGTAAAGAAGAAACCTTTTCAATTTTGCCATCATTTTATTGTAAACTTTCGGCATTATCGCTATTGATAACAACTCGTTCAATGAGAAGAATATGCTGTCATTATTTTGGGAAAAATGATATTCTATTTTGTTTGCCCCAAGACTTTCTGTACTAGGTGACTGTGTGACCTTCAGATAGGGCAAGCCATAAAGCTATCAAAAGATAGCACACTCAGTACTCCCCTCGACTTCTTTAGGCACGGAGGTTCTACGGTGTGGGCTACTTCCTCGGTCAAATCTTCTTAAGTGTCTCTGCTCTGCTTACTTTGGTCTGCTGCAGTCTTGATATTGAAAGTCGAAGCTTCCCGATCATTCTTTTAACCGCCAATTTTGGCTATCTTGTCAACCTCTCCGCCCAGACCCTTTCTGCCATCATCGGCTTCATCTTCTCCTTCCAACCAGACTCGCCCCACCACTCTGCGAGCTGTATTCGCAAAGTCTGGGTTAATGCCCTCGCTTTAGTCTGCATCTTTGGTGTTCCGCTTAGCATGACTATTCAACAGTCTTTTCCTGTGGTAAACAAGTATACTCTCCTCGATTCTACCGAAGGCCTCGGAGATAGTGGAACGATTGGTACAGTGAGACCACAGAGGGTCGCTTGCAGCTTCGTAGCTAGCACCGATACCCTCTATTTCCTCCTCACACCAGCAGTCCTTCTCCTTCTAATTCAATTTGTGGTCATATGCATTGCACTGAGACGATGGTCGACAACAGACAATTTGAGCAAGGGAATGAAACGACAACAGCGGCTGATTGCCCTGCTCAAAACGTGCCTGGGCCAATTACTAGTGTGGGGTACGGCCCTAGTAGCCTTGGTGACAGCATCAAATACCTTGTGGAACGTTTTTACGCTGTGCACTGCACTACAGTCCATCTTCGCCACCATGGTCTGCATCCTCTCCCGCTCGGTGGTGGGAGCCGCGCTAGCATCCAAGTACCGATCGAGGGAAGGCGTCATTGGTGACGATCGAGAGATGCTTGATATATGTCGATATAAGCTAGACGATGATAATGAAAGATTCTACAACCTGATGTGACCAGCTTTTTTTATGAATAGTACCTGTTATTATTTTGATAAAATATTTGATTATCCCTTCTCTTCAGAGGTAAAATCATGAACGAGGAGAATGGATTACTGTTTGAGAGGCCAAAATTAAACAAATCAGAGCACTATTAACTGATCAAAGTCAAGTGGTTTAGAAAATGCCAAAATTCTCATTCCAAGTGGAACAATTTAAGCAACAGAGTTTCGAAAATATGCAACCCTGGAAGATGGGGTACGTGGAAAAAACTGACCTTTGATGACTTCTGGTAATATCAAACATAAATGCCTGGAAGCGTTTCTTAATCAATGTTTTGGCAGTCGTTAAAAAAACGAATCTTTTCACTCAATGGCTTATTCACCGAAGGATTCCCAAAACAACAGCACAACACCCCTCTACTAAAAGGAAGGGATTGCACATGAATAAGTATATGTATAAAATTAATGATTGGCAGTATTAACGAAACAGATCCCCAACGGAGGGCAACGGTGCCAGAAATTCGCTCTCGTACTTTTGATCGTCTGGGAGACTTCGCATATGACTGTCCAAGCTCGTTTGCAGGGAGGTTGCATCGGCCTGCTTTTCACGAATTTTCTGGAAAAACAGAGAAATGAAAGGCGAGAAAGGCTGGAGAAATAATTCGGCGCCCTATTATCACTTAAATGTTAGCTTCTGCACGTTTTGCCATTGACTGTGGATAAAATTCTTTTCAAGGAACATTTTCCTACCTTAACCCTCATAACTACGCATTTTCCAATCCTAGAATAAAACGCATGAAAATTTTCCAACATTACGTAAACGGCAAGGGGATTCTGTAATAAAGACGGATTTAGATCTTAAGTGACCTGAACACTACCTCCGGGTTAGTGCGGAATTATGGTCTCTGCTTTGGCAGACTTCGCTAATAGTTGGCAAACCGATGTGTAAAATTGATAGCTTAGCAGCGGTAAACGATGCCTAGCAATCCTAAATAGCACTTTTCGAAATACCGCCGAGCACATAGCAATTAGCGATTGTATCCATGGAAAGTGAAATCTCTCCTACGAAAAGCGTTTGACATAGGGAAAGTCTACTGCGAAACCATCCTAACCAGTGCAAATATCTCCTCCCGTAACAAAAGCCAATAAAATAGAATAGGATGAGTTTGATTAATGTTGCGCTAATTCGTTACAGCATCGTTTTTGTGCCATAAGTAATAACGACACTCTGGAACACTCAAGATGGTTTATGGCATAACTATAGAGGCTCCAATCAACAGCTACATATCTTTCCCTTTCTCTACGCACGAAACAGAAATTTATGAATGGGATTGCATGGATGGCTTGAGTGTCACGCACACCAATTATACCTCATCTGAGGCAGTTTGAATTAAACTATCATGGTGTCAGTTGTAAATAGAAACAGGTGTAGTGGCAATGTGCGTTACAAAATCTCTTCACGCAACAGAAATTCGGTGTCCTTACTTGAATCCATGCTCGAGATTGTTGACAGGCCTCTATCAATGCCTTTTTGTAGGCACGTAGATTCAAATTCAAGTTGTGACGCTGGACCATCTCTTCATCCAGGCTGTGGTTATATGACTCCAATTGGCGCAGAGCAACTTGAATTCGCTCAACCACAGTTTTCTTATCAACTGTAATAATCAAATAACTAGTGTTACTCATTGATAAGTTAGTAACATCACAAGTCAAACTTTGCCTGAGATACTGTTTTGGTTTTGAAATACAACCGTGTTATGCTTTGGCATGATTAGCAAAAAATCAGCACAACCATCAAAAAGTGGTAGCAAAGTTTTGGAAGACCAGTAAAATATCTGCTCAAAGGACATAAATGAAGCGCTCACCAGTTTCCTTATTCTGGTCAAAAAAAATAATGAAATGTCTTCAATTGAGGCGGCTTAGCAAAAAACCGTCCCTTTTCATGCTACATCAGATCAATAAGTTTGGGGAGACTGAAGCTGGACAAACGCCCCACTTCACACGGAGCTTCACTCGGCAACGGTTTGTAACATAATCTGCAATAAGCTGCGAAGTTTGGGGATCGTTTGCAATTAACCTCAAAAAAGAACAGGAATAAGGGCGATTGCGGTGCGCAAATTACGGGACAATGTTTCGACAAACCTGAGGTATAACTAAGAACCAAAAGCCTTCATCAGCACATACTTCATTTCTAGCCGCCATTTTACTCAATAAAAGTCAGTCGGAGTACAGGAAATAGGCCGTTTGGAGAAATATGAGGCGGTATAAACAGTTAACGCAAGCCCAGGAGAAGTTGACCAAGCTCACATACTTCCAACCAACATTGCAACAGGCACAGATTCTCAAAAATTGACACAGCTTAAATTTTGTCAATTATAAGACAGTTATCAACCGCCATGCTTCGGATGTAACAAAACACCTTCAAGCATACGAAGGCTTGTTTGAAACATTTTCAATTCGAGGTGAGATTCCTCGGGCAATTTCCACGAAACAAGTGAACAGGCAGTAAGTATGCGATAGATACGAAACTAACAAAAATTATGCGGTGTCTTCTTTACCATTGTTTAAATTTTATGCACTCCAACAGCTACGATAAACAAGAGTTTGTGCTCATACTATTAAACTGAATTGCTCTCACTCAAGATGCCTCCGTAAAGGAAAAGGATCAAAAAATGGGTGCATATGATTTAGTTTTACCGGAAGCGAAGGTCTTTAAGATGCAGAATTTTGGACTGCAACGTCTTACTTTCCTAGGATATTAGTCTACAAAATGTTCACGGTACAGATACAGAGGCGGAACTAGAGCCCTTGATCGATTTGCCAAAACAGTGGATGGAGGAAAGAGGTGCAATGTCATCACAAATACAAACTTAACTATCTTTGTTACCACGACTATTTTCCAAATGAATGTCGATCAAATAGCACTGAATGACAGAGCAGCATTGACATGCTATCAACAACCTTACTAGCTACAAAGCAACATTTTCGAAACTGCAAACTACCTTGCTAAACTACATCTCTGCATACATTGACCATGGTGCCTTTCAGTCAAACAAGATACGACTGACATTAATCAAAATCTCAGCTAGGCGATACTACTCATCAAGTCGACTCACCGCCTTCCGAGAGCATTTTCGTCGCAACCTGAGGATCTGAGACTTCCGCGGGAAAGTCTGCAATCTTCTGACGCGTGATTGCGTTGGCCGAGGGAGCACTTTGAAGAGCCTCTAACAGCCTGATCAAATCCCCAGTGTCCGGCGGTTTTACCGCTTCTAATTCCAGGTCTTGCTGCAACTCCTCTCTGAACACCGCCAGGTTTGTACATGGCGACATAGAACCGCCACCGCTACCTGTATCAGGTGTGGGAGTGGTTGTGAGTGCGGCAGGAGAGAGGGACGGAGGCTGATGCGTGGCCGCCGATGCGTTGATGAGGGCACAGGTAAAGGAGAAATCGAATGGGGAGGGCTTTGAACTACTTTTTGCCTAGAAACACGAAAGGTAAGCCCTGACGCAATGCATTTCAAAAGAAATTAACACCGGTAATGTGCCCACTGGATTGGCTGCGTCAGCCTGTAAAGCGGCTCGTTGACAAGTTGTACGAAGTTGGCGCAAGAAGGAGCGTGGGTAAATTTGCCGTTCGGCCCACACGACCAATAAATGCGCCACTGCTGATCGGATATGGTGCGACTGAACACTAGCGGTCTCTCGAAAGGCAAAAGAAAGAACAGGTTCGAAGAGTTGCGCGAATTGGGGTGCCTTTTGGGATCCGCTGACAACAACATCGTTGACAAGATGCAGAAAAGCAAGTTTCAGCTTGTCGGCAGCTAAACAACTTAACTGTACGAACCAAAGGTCTACCTGAGCGAAACTCTTTGAACCAGAGCTTCACGAGCTCTTTTGCCATATGCCGGTTTTTTAAGAAAGCGCGGGAAGTCTTCTCGATGGAGCGCTGGGTATGATTTAGAGTCCTTAGGCGATTGATGATAGTTTGTTCAAATGCATTTTCCATTTGACTATAAAATCCATAAAGACATAATTATGCAAAGCGAAGTCCCTCAAATGTGGATGAAGACACAAAATCGACCTGCAACCAATAGATGAGAGGCACTAAAGAGTTTAACCTCATGTAACTCATAACTAGCTTGTATAAGCCAGTCTTAAACAGGGCACGCTCACACAGTCTACTAAACCTATCCTAAGCCTAGCGTCAAGAAGCGAAATACTTTCAATGTAGTAAACGGTCACAAACATACGATAGGAAGGATTTGTGAAAAATTGTTTAACCCACAGACAGAAGAACCAACCACTGAACGCGAAAATGGGCAGTATCAACACCATCATCGACAGATATGCTTTCGTCAGACAGGATCGTAAAAGGCAACTAGTTCGAAGCTACTGCAAATAAAATTTTGGGGCTCGTAAAGGACGACAATGACGCGTCATATGTGGCAGTTATCTTCGTCTGTTACTCTATGCACAAGTTGATCAGTGGTACCATTTTAGACTTCTACCAGTAGTCACATAGCCATAAGCCAATTTTTTTAACCATCACAACCTATGAGAGAAAACCGAGGAACTCAAGCACAGACCGAGGTAATACTTTACTTTCCCGGGGCTTCCCATTACGTCCCGTTTACGTCACATTATCTTGAACAGAATACATGTATTCTAAAAAGGAATAATACTTGATATGGTCAGAAGGCCAGCGTCTACTTTTAATAATTAAGCGAGTACCAAAGTGCTCACTAGACATCAGGTGGCTATGTACACAAAGCCTTACAATACTACCAAGTTCAATTTTTGTCTTATAACCAAACGCTGTTACTTTAATTCAAGAAAATCCGATATATGAAAGTCAGTCACGTAATACTTTTAAGTGCTTAACTGACGTCTGGCGGTCACTTCAGTATTTGTTTGACCCTTGTACTGGTGGGCTGTCATTTGGGCCATGCTCAGCCCCATTTGCTCTGTTCTCTTAGGAATGCATGTATCCAGCCTCTTTTACTACCTCCCTCTACCTTATTGGAAGTCTCGGGAGGCTACAGGTCAACTTCATAAAACTTGTTTTTCGCTTCCTAATAATAAGCAGCTGGGCGTGAAATATGGGCCAGCAACTATTGCTCTGACCTTATTTAAGCGAGGGACAAAGATAAGAGTAGCACACTGTATTAATACAGTGAAAGAAAAGGTCGCCTTTCCATGGTTTCCTTACATGAGAAATAGAGTTCCTTTATGTTGCGGTTCGTCCACTGTCTATGCCACTGTAGTGGTCATCCATAGTTCGCTGTGTGTTCTGGCCTTCACGCAAAGCAAAAGCCCCACATCTTCCTACTTTTTCCAAGTATTTAGCCTTGCCTAATACATTCTATTGGTGGATAGTAATTCGCAGGTAGATGCCCAGTACTCGAATAGAACGCATGTAGTCAACATAAAGGAAGGCACAGAAGGCTTTCGACACAGCCCGAAAGTCAATTCATCCGAATACGGCAGCATGGACAAACTGTATCGATAGTCAAACAGGCAATGAGTCTCACAGTCTCCTACTTTAAGCAACAGCACTCTCACACTCCTCTCCACCAACCTCTGTGTCAGCCATCACAATGCAATCGGCGCCGATAGAATACACTCACCATCCATCACATCACTCACCAATCCTCATGCAACTGATGCCAAACATTCCACATCAATGTCACCAATCTCCCTTCCATCTCACTTGCAGCTGGATCCAAGGTTTCGTCCGACGTGGAAGCATTCAACTACCCATCATATGTGCCAATGGTTGCACCATGAAACACTGGTCTGAAAAGCGACTTGTGGAAAGGAGTGGGAGAGTTGGCACAGTCCTGTGTGGGGTGAGTATGGCGCATTTTGGAGGAACTGTGAGACAAAATTGCCTCTCACAGCTCACAGCAGGTGTTGCTTCTGTTGCTAGTGGATTTTGTGCGGAACACGGGAGTGTACAGATGTCGGAGAGTGGCGCTGATGGCAGACGTCATTCTCAGACCTCGTGATGTGGACAAAGTCAGAGGTTTTCATACACATTGTACACGTACATCACTCACGATGTTAAGGTTTGCAACAACAGTTGGAATTGAGGATGGAAGTTCTCCGAAAGTGCGATTCGCAATTTGCTACCGTCGATGTGGAGTTTGGAGACTTCTTTATAAGCAAAAAGTAGTGCAGTGCTTAGGAGATCTCTATTGTGTAGTGAAAATATACTGATATTCACCATGGTCTCGAAGCCATCTCACAGGACACGTAAAATGTGTGTCGTCTCCTTTTGAAGGCTTAAAAATGGTAGCTCGGTTCACTCAAAATGATTTAAACTTTATGAATGCAGCTTATTTAAAGGATATTTGTTGGTTTAATAACGTCTAGTCCCGATTTTTTAACCCCGTGAGACATCCACCATAAGGACTCTATGGGAGGACATAGATGTTGTTGAACAACCGTGCTTATAATTCACATCAATACTTTATGTGCATCTCGTATCCCTACTAGCAGAAGGGTAGAAGTCCTCAGGCGCAGCTTAGAAATATGCGCTCCCAAACTTCTCTTTTATTACCCTCCATTCCTCACTTTGTGACAAAACACATAACACTGCGAAAACCAGATGCCTGTCATAATGCGGACAGTTGGAAAAAATGAGATTAACTTACTTACTCCTAGTGTTTTGGTCTTCATGACCTGCTTGGGAGAACTAACGAACTGACATTCTCTCACCGTTCATCAAAATATTGGCCCAAAAGGTACATTTTAGGCAAACCATATGCATTATGGTGATTGGTGTAACGCAGTGCTTATGAAATTTTTCGACCTCGTGTTCAAGTAGCATTCATTCTGGTGGTTACGTGGGTACAGAAAGTTTACGTCTATTCTTGCCTCTTTAGGTGTCATAAGATGCAAACCTAATGCTCTTGTATTGCTTGGTGTATGTGATCACCTAATATCTGGCGGTTATTTTGGTATTTGTTTTACTCCTATACGCATTGGCTCCATAGAACCTCTCAGCCTACCTTCAAGCACCTAAAACCTCTGAACTCTGTAATACTTTGTTTATGTGACCACATGACGTTTGGCAGTCACTTTAGGAATTGTCTGGCCTTCGGTCATGCTCAGAACCATCTGTTTTGTCCTCTTTGGAATACATGTATCCGGCTTCACTTATTGCCTTCTTCCACCCGGTGAGAATTCTCGGGACGCTACACTGGTGGCAGCGGAAAGCGAATCCAACATTTTTCAACGACTTCTATTCTAGCACGTACTGTTTGTTGCATGTACCTACGGCGTGGAGGAGGCGCATTTACCTCGGTGACTGAGAACCTCTGAATCCTTTACAACAAAGGGATCTAGACTGACGTCTGCATTTTGCTTCACCTTATTCCCGTGTTCCTCAGAAAAGCTATTAACAACTGAAGAGATATCGTCGTGAACCATTTGGAAAAGTTTCGTGTCGGAGTTTCCCATACGAAATCCGTGTTTAGGTTTGGAAATGACACTACAGTTCTCCTTACATACGGGACAGTGGCTCATCCCGTTTTCCCTGTAACATATATGTTTTAGGCCAGATTTCCTCCATCTAGTCCTGGAAGCAATTGATGGTCAGCAGGTGTATGCGGCCTCAAATTTGGTTGTTAGACCGAATGTAACTCCAGACCCAGTTGAAGCTGCCGAGGAGACCAAATAGCGTTCCTCAGTCTCATCTTCGCTGCAGTTTGGCGCGCTTGGTTTGTGGGTGCTTTCTTGTAGTACCGAATATGCTGTGATGGCTGGTGCGGGAGGTGTAATAAAGGAGCGCCGAGGACGTCACGCAAAAGTGAGGGGCAGTGTAATGCATTGCTTATGTTGCCATATGACGTCTGGTGGTCACTTTGGGATTTGTCTGGCCCTTCTACGTGTCGGCTGGCCTTCGGGCCATGCTCAGGCCTAATCTCTTCGTTCTCTTCGGAATACATGTATCCAGCCTCACTTACTGCCTTCTTGCCTTCTTCCACCTTGCGGAAGTCTCGGGACGCTACAAACTCTGGTATCGTCTGCGGAATGGAATGATGTATCTGTGTAATTACGACGGTAGTAAGACGTTGCTCGGCGAAGGTTCTTGCGTTCTTTAGACACGAGATTCGTGTTCGATTTAAACGATCGCTTCTTGCCTATTGGCTTGGCATAAAAACACCAACATATTTGTCTATCCCACTTAACTTCAGGACATTCTATGGACCTTCTTTGTCTCTGAGATTGTATGCATTCCTCCCAGCGTAATACCTTCTCCTACATAAGAGAAAGGGACACCAAGCAACATAACTCCAACCTCCGATTAGTAGTGGATCGCCTTCGGGAAGCAAGTCTGGCACTGAATCCAAAGAAATGCAGTTTTCTCCAAAACTTGGTCACTTTCACAGGACACAAGATTTCTGCAGATGGGATGGCGTGGCCGACACCTACAAATCAAATGGAGCTTCGCAGCTTCCTTGGTTTGGCTAACTATTGTAGGCGTTATGTACAAGGTTTTGCCAAGATCGCGAGTCTCCTATACACGTTGACAGAGAAACAGGCAAAAAAGGAATTTCCATGTTAAAACGAACTCACAGAGGTATTTAAAGAGTTGAAGTGTGCTCTCTGCGCGGCACCGATCCTGACTTTACCAAACTTCGTGCTGGACACAGACGCAGGCAATTTAGCAGTGGGTGGAGTTCTATCCCCAAGAGAGGTAGACGGGACAGAACATGTGATCTCGTATGCCAGCTCACATCTAACCAACAAGCTGTAGCAGAAGAGTGCAATGGAACGGGAACTTTTCGCTATTTATACAATGGTCAGGCATTTTAAACACTACTTGATAGGAAAGGAGTCCGTTTTGAGGACGGAACGTCAAGCACTGACATGGTTAAAATACGATGAAGGAGATCGGTCGCTACGTCGCTAGGTGGTACGAAGAACTTCAGCAATATAAGTTTATCATGTAATATAGGAAAGGAAGCTCTCACGGCAATGCGGACGCTCTGTCACGGAGACCGTTATCCCTGCTTACGGATAGCAACACAGTGGGTGCGCTGTCATTGAGCGAACCTACTTCCCATCACTGGAGAAGCACCCCTAGCTGCGATCCCGATAAAGCTTTGGTTTATGGGAGACTAAGGACATCCTCAGCCAAGTCCACAGTTGAGAAGATGAGTTCGGCAGGCAAGAGAGTCAAGAGGACGATGTCATATGGTACAGAGACGATAATGTGGCACGTTCCTTGGTGCAACCATCGTTGTTGGAATTGCATGAGCAACTAGGCCATGTGGTGGGCAGGAAGATGCTTGAAGTCGCAAGGAAGAGGTATTAGTGGCCCTCACTGAAATCGGATATCTCCGATTTTTGTCGCGCATGCGTCACGTATACCAGCTTGAGGAACTCAACTCGCATGGAGGTAGCCCCACTACAGCCGATGTCCACGGGCTTTCCAGGGGAGCTAGTAGGCATAGATATCATAGGCCAGCTTCCCACGACTGCGAGAGGGAACCGTTATGTTTTGGTGATGGCAGACTATCTCACCAAGGTCGCGGAAGCCGAGCCATTGCAGGTGCAGGCTGCTGATACAGTAGCGAACGCGTTCTTCAATCGCTGGATCTGCCAACATGGCGTGCCTAATTGCATACATTGCGACTGATGGGCGAACTTTGGATGTTGTCTCATCACAGAGCTGTGCATAGCCCTTTCAAATCTGTAAGACGTGTGCGACGCCAGGTCCCCCTCAGGGCAGTGGGCAAGTAGAGGGGACAAATCGTACTCTTGTCGACTTATTGTAGGCTTTTACTAAAGAGGTGTAGCTCGAGGATTAGATCTATACCTAGGACGGGCCCTCCTCGCCTACCAAGCCTCCGCTCACACCTCAAGTGGAGTCTCACCATTCAAGATGCTCACGGGCCGTAGAATGACGTTTCGCTCCCTCGTAAGAAACCGTCAGTGGATAACGCACCTCAGTACGTCTTACGGCTAAAGGAGAACACCTGGAAAGCATTTGACGTCGCGCGCAGACAGTCGAAGAAAGCATACGCTAGGTAAACGAGGTCCTACGTTAGACAGAGTCGAACAAACGTCTTCAAAAAGGGAGATTTTGTGCAATTGCATAGACCGGTTCTCCTGCCGGGAACCAACCGAAAATTCTACCAACTTTAGGGCAAGGAAGCCTATCAGACAATCTAAATCCTGACGCCCATTAATTATCTCAGTCGGAATGCGGAGGCCGCTACTCGGTCTCTAAAAGTGCACCATTAAATGATTAGACCATATACAGGTGCTTCTCCAGTAGGATACGAAGACAAAGTCTGTACGTTAGCAGAAAAGGGGAAGCTGCCCGACGAAACTACTGGTCAGCACCGGGGACGGTGGTTGAAAGAGAAGAGGGTTGTATAATGTATCCTAGTGTTTAAGTTGACCTTTATAGGAGAGAGGTAGGAAAAAAATTGGAACGCGAACCCTGTGCGTGAAGACCGTGGAGAATCTCCCTCTGGGTGATATCAGCTATTTGGCTCATCTGTACTCATATCCCCGTCTTTTCTGTAATCAAAGCCTAACAAATTGACTATAACTAGCCCTCTCTTGAAGTACGTGGTTTAAGGGAATGAGGTTTGGCAGGCAGCTCCTACGTAAAATACCAAAGTTATTGTCAATTTTCAAGAAGGTCTTAAAAAGAAATTTTTTTGTAGTGACGTGTGTGCATCTGAGCATACACATTTGTTCATTTGATACAGTAAAATAGAATAGGTAAGCTCGGCTTTTTTTAATGGTCTCAACAATTTTAAATAATACGATACTTAGTTAGATGCGAATATCTTAAACCCGTAATTTAAAACTGCTTCTGTGGTTGTTTTATTTCTCGGAAAAATCGCAGGCGCCGGCTGCGGTATTTGTGCATGCGATTTGTCTCCCAATGCCTGTCCGTAAGAAGCCCAAATGTGAAAATAATCCCATGCGGGATATCCGCATCCAGAAGCTCTGCTTAAATATCTGCGTTGGAGAAAGTGGTGATCGTCTAACTCGAGCTGCAAAGGTTTTGGAGCAACTCACCGATCAACAGCCCGTATTTAGCAAGGCTCGTCTAACCGTCCGAACATTTGGGATCAGGAGAAATGAGAAGATAGCTGTTCACTGCACTGTTCGTGGCGCGAAAGCAGAAGGTATTTTGATTTAGTGCTCGCAAATTTGTAGAAATTTTGGAGCGTGGGTTGAAAGTGAAAGAATACGAATTGCCCAAGTCTTCATTCAGTGCTATGGGACATTTTGGGTTCGGTTTGACAGAGCATATTGATCTGGGTCTGAAGTACGATCCCTCCATCGGTATCTATGGCATGGACTTCTATGTCATCCTGGGTCGCGCTGGTCAACGTGTGTGCCATAGGTAATTGCTTGAATTAGTCATTTATTTCGCTAGGCGTCGGTGTGTGTCCAAAATCGGACTGAAGCATCATGTCACTCGGGAAGAGGCTATGAAGTGGTTCCAAAGCAAGTACGATGGCATTCTTATTAACAAATAAAAGGAATACATGCGATGTGGTTTGGCATGGTGTCTCCTATGTATTGGGAAGTTTTATGCTCGTTTGTCTCAGTGAGTCCCTAATTGTCTATTTCTTCGATGATTTGTGCTTCTCATTGGGTCTAGGCTTGTGTCGTGGTTTGTGCCCCGTGGAGGTAGGTTCAGTAGTTTGACTCTTGGGCCTCAGTTAGCCATTGCCATGGATTGTCTAAACTTGGGAAACTATAGCGCATATGTTCCACTTCGTGAATTTCTTTGTTTTCGTCCCCTGGTGGTGCTCCAATTGTTTCTGGGCGCTTGTGAACTTGCTTCTGGCTTGCCGGGGCGCTGTCGTCCGTGGGCAGTTTGCGTGGGCTTTTCCTGTGAAGGTTAGGGTTCGAATATCGTGAATTGAGTGTGGCTGACGCCGAGGGTTCGGATGTGAACCGTGGGCATGGGGTCAGGCTACTAGCGTTCATCGGTGCGTTTCGTCGGGCGGTACTGGTCCTCTCTTCGTCGGGATGGACGTCGCTAGCTGACATCAGCCACTCACGGAAGCTGAATTGGCGATCAACAACAAACAGCGTTTCGGGGTGTGGAGTGGCGCTCCACGATTGCATTATCTACTTTAAGGGGCTGCTCATTCAATATCCTGCAGAGCTAGATGGTGTGAAATAAGGAATTCGTTGAGGCGGATGTCATGTGTACCTGGTGTTTCGGTTTGTTTGTGTACGTTCCTCGTGTGCAAAACATCTGAGTAGTACTTTAAAAACATCTGGATCTTGGGAGTAATTAGGAACCATTTCAAAAGCAAATTAGGAGTTACACAACATTTGGGTGTTCGCCATTGCCGTATTCTATTACGAATTCTTACCTTGTTGAAGTATACGAACATCCTGTCATGAGGGTCGGTGTAAAAAAGCAGGAGATTAGATGCCTTTTTTAAATTGAGAGTAGTACTCTAGTATTGCATTCATTTAGTTTCTTTGAATGACTCGAAAGTTGTGCAGTCGTAATGGCGTTATTTTGAGTAGTTTTCGCGAAGGTCGCCGTGGGTGCTTGGCAGTCCTGTATGGCATCTGCTTATCGAACTGAGCTAACGCAGTCGGTCGAATAATAGAGGGATTGGTGTCTTAGTTTTGCCAGATTTCGATGTATTCATACACGAATTCGAAGTTTAATTCGTTTTTTACGTGTTATTTACTATTTTCTGCGCAACATTAAGGGTAATTGTACCTTCGTGTTTTTATCGTAGTAGATGGGCGGGGAACCTTTTATGAATCCAGAGGTTGCCCAGTTTTATAATAATATTGTTAATACGTCAAGTAATGAGCCATACGAAGACGTCATTCGGTTTTTGGAGTTTGTTCGCAATTCAGAGGTTGTGGTTCAATAAACATAAATAACTCCCTCTTTTAGTCGGAAGATTGTATTTTAAATATGCGCCAAGACGCATCTTCTCTGGTATCTGCAGATGTCACGCAGCAAATTATCGAAAGGCAGTATGTCCACGTTGTGGGAAATTTTCTTGAATTTGCAGCATGAAATTTCTTTTGTTGGTGCAGTTTGAATATACGAGATCATTACCATCTCACGATCCCGATTCTATTGACTCCAACTTGAGTGAATGGGTATGTGTTTTATTTTTACATAGGTACGCTAAGGCTGCTCAAATTCTAGAACGGCTGAGTGTATGTTCACTCACCCAGTCTAATTGGAAAGATTTTATTAAAAAGGATCTAGTTGACAGGTTGGGTTTCTTTTGTAATCCATCAAATGAGTGTTTTAGATATGCTAGTTCTCATGGCAAAACTCTTGCACAAATATATATGAACATTGGACTTGAGCCTCCATCTTGTCTACCGCATTTAGATGAGCCGGATGATGATAGCGGCAACGATAATGACAGAGTCATCGACAACCCTTCCAGTTTTTCATTGGTAGATCTAGAAGACCCATTAATTTCGGTTGAAGGTCCAAAAACGCCTACAAGGTTTGCACATTTGGTGTGATTGAATTACGGTGTTTTCTTGTTCAGAGAAATGCTATCCCCCAGGACTGCTAAGATTTCAGCGAGGAATTCTTTACCTCGAGCATTGTTTACTGATTCGTTTGTTCTTACGCAAAACGAAGGATTATCTTGGTTCTCTGCCTCACAGATCTCCCCCGAGTAAGTTGTCATGCTTCCCAGGAGTGTAAATGTCACCGTTTAGAAGTTCTATTGCATCAACTTCCTACTCCCAACCCAGCAGTCAGGTGGGGAGAAAGTATGCCACCCGTTCTAAACTTGGTGCATCTGCGCCCCATTTAGTCCTGATGCCAGCCTCTAAACTTACTACCTCCAAGGGTAAACGGAAGGGTAAAACTCCAGTAAAGCGGGGCCTTGGTCAACTTAGTCAATCTCCTACGGTGAGGATGGATTCCAGGAGAAGGTGAGGAGTCAGTTCTGTGTGATGTTCGTAATTGTTCACATGCTCAAGGAGACATCTTAAAATGAATTTTTTTGAACACATCTTATTATTCCTCTTAAAGGCGACGAATACCCTCGAGTTCGCACAGTGGTAGCAATCGGCGTAAATCACTACATCGTTCAGTGGCAGAAACACCTAACTGGAAGATGTCGCAACCCCGATGGGAGCGTGCTCGGATGGCAGCTGCGGAAAAAACAAAGGGTCGCGTGAGCCGTCGTATTTTTGGACTAATTATTCTCTTAACAAGATTGGATGAGGAATTCATTCTTTTAAAGATCTTAATCGCAAAAGGATTTTTAAAAAGTATCGATTTTGCAGCTTACATCAGTGCGGTTAGTTTGGCGTTGGGTGATCTTGTTAAAATTCGTCGCTGATTTGTGCTGCTTAGCTTCTATAGGGGATGTCATATTCTAAAGTTCCATACCCTGCCTACGTTTGTGGAATTTTCATTGGGCTTTGAGATTGGTTTTTAGGCTTTTGCTAATTGATTTTAATAACTTTGACTAGTGTTGATAATTATAGCGTAATGTAAAAATAACTTTTTATTCCAAAGCGCCAGTGCCGTAAACGGATTCCCTTGAAGTCTCACAGTCAAAAGTGTGTACTATCAGCATTTAGAAATGCAATAGTTTCACCACTTTTCAAATGCCTTAAGCATTTAACTGCACGAAATCCCCTTGCAATTCACCATTGCTGAAGCTAAAATCCTCCTAAATGTCTTTAAGGTTTTGTAGCATCGTTTTCATTTGATCCTATTCATTCCTCCTCGATCATTATGACGATGTATTGATTCTATGTAGAAAGCTGAAAATCTAATGAATGTTGATTGTACGTAACGAACGATGTTTTGGGACTAATAACATGTATGACATCTCACAAATTTTTTGGATCGAAAATTAACATAATTGCAGATGTCCTCCTTTGTTTGTTTCCTTCCATAAGACTTAAAATAAGTTAAACATCATCCCTGTAAGTAATGAATTAGTAAGAACAACCGAAAATAAGTTTGAACTTCACACGCAGAACTCCTGTTCTCCTGAACACAGTAGAGTACAGGTCCCTAAGATCGATTAGATGCGTTCGCCCCAGAATTGTGCATGGGGTCTAAAAGTAGGTTCTTTATTCAGCGTCATTGTCCGTCCTAATCAATGCACTCGAATCTAGTTGGTGGTAGTGGCCGAGACCCCCATAAAGCCCTCCGAACCGGGCTCAGTAATGACGAGTCCCCTTCGTCGACTCCGGCGCGCCTCTTCTCTCCTCAACTTTAGGAGAGGTTATTCGAGCAGTGGTGGTGCCGTTTCCTCCACTTCGACCTCCCGACTTAGCATCAAGGCGGAGCAATGGCAGCGACGTCTGATGGAGGAAGAGGCGAGTTTGAGCCAATTCAGTGGAGGGGAAAGCAGCCTCTCTCTCTCGACGTCTTCTTCGCAGTTTCAGCGTCGGTCCTCCAACCTCATGGCGAATTTTCTCTCTCTCCCTTCACCACATTCTTCTGCTAAAGATAAGCCGAAGCCGCCCCTTACTTCGGCGGTGTCATCGCCTCCTGTGTTGAATTTGTCAATACTTAAATCAGGTATTGTTTTCTAGCCTTTGGTTTAAGCGACCTATGAATCCATGGGAATTAGTGCTTTTGTGAAAATCTGGTAATCGGCTCCTACGGACCCTCAACTTCCGCGTTTGAGTTTATCAGACAATTGCTAAAGCTGTTATTATTCTTTGTACTAATTTTAGTATCGTCCGACCACGCTTTGTTTAGTTAAGTTGGTTCTTGCACTTTAGCTGCAGCCGTTGACTTTGCTAATGTATGTTAACGGTGGTAATGCAGTTAAGTATCTGCATCACTTCACGTTGGTTGAAGGAAAAGTACTAAAATCGGTTCAATTATAGCTTAGTTTTAGCATGATGAACACATTTTAAGATAATTTCTGCCCGTTGAGTAGCATTTTGGTCTAAAGATTGCCGGTGGCGCTGACTTTCCGAGCCTTTCTTGATTGATTGCGGTTTATATTCGTGTCTATCCACACCCTCCATTCTTTCCATTAACCGGATTGTTTTCCCTCTATACCTTAGTGGCCACAATTATCAGATCAAAATTGCATTGCCATTATTGGCTCATCACCGTATTGATAAGTTGGTCCTGCTTACATTCTTCGTTGTGTTCCCCTTTTGGGAGGTTAATTTTCGGAGTTTATTTCTGCCAACATTCCTAAAGCGGTAGGTTGTTAAAAAACGATAGGCACACCGTTTGGTTTGTGGACTCTCGATGCCTCCCTAGACTTCTATCGGTTTACATAAGTCAAGAATACTCTTGGCGGATAGCGATTAGCTTTATGACAAAGTCACTTTGTTCCCTCTGTTTAGGGTTACCTCGACGACAGCCACCACCAGTGTCGTTTGAAGGTCTCTTTCATGACCTGGATGCTCCTTGTAGCACCACCACTAGCACTCAACCTATGTTGATAAAGACGCCGCTTAAGAGCAAACCAACTACGAGTGCCACTCCAAAGCGTCGTAAAGCAGGCCCAAGAGGGCAAGTGGCGGCAACAGAGGTACCCATCTCTTCACACGTCTTCGACGAGGCTGCAATGTTTCCTGGAGAAGGAGAGTTCTTCCAACGCCCTGTCACTGACCCTGATAGCTCCATGCTGCACGGGTATGTTGGCGCCTTTTTGAGTTGTCTTGAACGTTCGCTTATGTGAGTGACTTACTTCCTGGGATTCCGCCCGAAAAATTCCATTATTACCTTTTCGTTAGCTTCAATTTTGCAACCGAAAACTACATCTGCTTTTTAATGAGCCAATTCGCGCTAATAGATGCTCAAATCTATCCGCGGATTTAAAAGGTGTCACCAGCCTCAATGTTTCAAAGCTGGTGTGGCTTATAACGGGCTTCCGCTCCTTATCTTTATACTCGTTCCGATCCTTTCAAACGAAGATAAACCATCGAGTAGCGCTTACTTAACAGCGTTTCTGATGTTTGTAAAATTTTACCCCAAGTACTTGCTTGACTGAAGAGTTCCCGAATCAAAACTCAGTCACCTAGTTTGTTCATGAATATAGTAGCATAATCTTGATCCGATTTTGGGTTCAGTGGAAGATATGAAAATCTCATTGTTAGGAAGTTATCACCAATATAAAATGACTTAACAGGTAACAATGTGAGGCAGGACATGCGCTATCGCATGCTAAATTGCATTCCTATTTTGCTGCTGGAGAGATTATTGTAACTCAATTTTGTTTATGAGAGATCCTAAAATGCCGTCACTCCTCCTTCAGAAAGATCCAGTCCCTAGGAGGTGGGGAGTCCCACATCACTCCAAGGAAATGTGCTCCCAGTCCTTCGTCAACGAGTGATGCCGATGAGGACAACTTCAAACCGAACCTCCCGAAGGGGGTGGGAATTACAATATTGGGGCTTCGGGATCCTCTCACTCCCATTGGCAAAACACGCAGTGTGTTGCGGTGTGAAACATCCGCATTAGTTCTCAAAGTTAGATCTAGGTCGTCTTTTCGGTTACATAAAAATGCTAACCCGTACACCAATGCTAAACTGGAGTAGCCATTGGTTGGGCTTCCGTGTATGGTTGCGCTTATTCCGTCATGCGTTTTTTCAATCGTTCACTCTTTCGAAGGCTAGTCCTCTGCCGTCTTTTGGAATACAGCAGCACCCCAGCAATTTCCAGAGTCAGAGACGGCCTCAATAAGGAAATGACTTGTTAATGTTTCAAGTTTGATTGTCCACAAGCACACTTACCGGGGCGGCTAAACTGACGTTTGATGGGGATTTTGGTTTCGTGAGTATAATGTATTATTAGCAGTTAGGCTATACGCAGGCTTCCAATGTACCAACCCAATGCTAACTACATTTTCTTCGATTCTGTGTTATCGATCCCTTAAACGGACAAACTTGACCCTGAAGCTAGTGTGCGATTTGTGTCCAATCTTGATTTCTTGCAGATTCAATGCCTGTAGAACTTTTATTTGTACCTTTGCTATTTGATTTTTGACTATAATCCACCATTTGTCAGTAACCTGCGGAGCACTCTTTGTCTCATTCATTTCTATTTTGTTGCAACAGCCTCTTCATTGGCATCTCTTCACTGATAACCCAGCTTTCTGGATCGATTCTATGAAATTCTGCCTAGCATTTGCTAGGAAATTTCTAGTTAAGGTCAATCACAGGTCAAACTGCTTATTTTCCAGGGTGCTAAGAAGTAACACCTCTGCTGTGTTCTGCATTGTGTACAAGTACTTCATTTTGGGTTAGAACATTCAGGTGAACACATTGGTGCACTAATGAAGGAAGGTAGGACTTGCTGGTGTTGCTAAAGCAATGTATGGATGACGCGGACAAACTATCTGTCCTATTATTTCAACATAATCAGATTCAATAAGGTGGTAAAAAGGTTAAATTTGTTTAACCCAAAGGCTACAAAAAATGCACCTTTATATGAAGTTTAAAGATCAACAAAATCAAATTACTTTTTTACTTTTTAAGGGGACAACCCGTGATGTGTGGTGGTGGCCCTTTTATGACACCAAGAAAACAGACGCTCTGCTTGCACTCATCAGGCTGTGGCAACAACGAGGAATCACGGTCTGGTGCAGAAAAGGAGGGAGGTTATGGCGTCTCATCGGGTTTGCAAGAGCCCCTCAATCCAACTTCTCAAACCAGTGGTCTATTTCAGTCGGGACCATTCGAGTAAGTCAAAAAATTACTGATTTCATTGGGTTTGAGGCAAAGCTGTCGGTCGCGATGCAATTGTTGTCAGATTTTTAATGAGCTGTCTGCAAAACTTACTCTTTCAGTTAGTGTTCTCTCGTTTGATAGGATTTGGAAGTCCACGAGGTTGTAAAGTATCATCATAGATAAGAAAGTGGTTTCATTTTTAAAGGCCTTAAGGCGCTTGCAAAAAATTGTTGTGCCGTTGAAACTTCAATACCTTCGACGCCAATCGTCTCCTCTCATAATACCTTGCATGGGACTTGTGTATGATATTCCTCTATTCTTTCTGTACTTTCTGATCACCAAGACAACTTTACCATTATCTCGGGTGTTATAAGCACTAGAATGTCCGAAGCTAATAATAGCATGGAATTCCCCATTCCTTTTATGTCGGCTCAATAAAGCTCGTACAACTTTCGCTATCCATTTGTCCAGCGATGTTCGATTTGATCTAACCTCTTGCTCAAAAAACTCTTTCAGATGGAGTCTCAGTAATCCTTCAGCTTCTGCTACCAAGGAAGAAGGTATTCTGTCTTTCCATCAAGTTACTACTAGGCGGATTACACCTCGCAAAGGCCTCTTTCGCCCCACCTCCAGTTCGTCCCAGGAGTTGAGTCCTGGCGCCCCATCAACTTCTGCTGCCAAGAGAGGAGGTAGTTTGCCTTTCCACCAGACCGCTACTAAGCGAACTACACCCCGAAAGGGTCTCTTTCGTTCTACTCCCAGTCCGCTCCGAGCGTTGAGTTCTGGCATCCCATCAACTTCTGCCGCCAAGAGAAGAGGTAGTTTACCTTTCCACCAGACAGCTGCTAAGCGAACCACACCTTGTAAAGGTCCCCTTCGTCCCACTATTACTACTCCACCACCACCATCTCAAGTCCAGGCCAACGTAGAGAATCAAAAGGAAGAGAGAGCGTATTCACCAAGAAGGCGTCTTCGAACACGCCGATCCCTCTTTCGGTGAGAGAGGCAGAAGCTAATTTGCCAACAAGTCGAATTGCTAGGCATCTTTGTACAATATTTGTAATGTAAGTGATGCTAGTTTCTGTTATTTCTATCCAGATTTATTGGCACAACAGAGGATGGAGAGGAGCCAATAATAGTAGGACTCAAGTAACGTAGTGGTGAGAGTGAAAGATTCTATCTACCAGCGAGACTACAATCTCTATACAGAGGGCATGAAAGGGTAGGAATGGAGTTTTTGTACAGTAATAGAAGGAAAGGTTGGTATAAGAATGCGCCAGTAGTCCTACAGATGTGGTTTTGCCATTCTAAAGGCTACAAACCCAAAACCAGCCAAGATGGTTGCAGCGAGGGTCAGTTTCCAAGCGTAGTCGGGTTGAGCCAGCTCTAGACGTCTGGTGTGTCTGTTGTAGAAAGGGGGAGGAGGCGCACTTAATCAAAATGCCTACTGGACGATGGCTAAATGTTTTTACAAGTGAATACGAAGACACGATTTGAATTATTTACGTATAATCCTGGGCGTAGTGTAGCGACAGCGTCCAATTTTAAGGGCAAAGCTCCTTTATTTAGCTTCTAACAAAGTTACGTTTTCCCAAAAAAGGGCCACAAACTCAAGAGTAGGAGATTATTTGGAGAATAAACAGACGGACTCAAGAGGACTTTGGAATTTGAGGTGCGGTCACTAGCCTACTATCCCCCCTTACTTTCCGAGCCTTATAACCAGAAGCCGAGAGACCGTGTTGTGCACACTGTTCAGGTTACGAAAATCTAAAGGGCGCAACAACTACCAGTAATGCTATGAGAACATTCAAGCGGTGGAGGCAATGCTCTACCGGTTGGGGGCGCCATATTAAATAAGATGAAAGGAAAGCAAGAGAATGTAGACACCTGCACTTACGGGTAATTGGCCATGGTCGTAAGTTTCACGTACACGGGGTGAAACTCTCCCTCCAGCTGCTTGACCTCGCGTGCAGGAATAGATGTGCCAGTGGTGTATGGGCTAAAGAGCGTGGGGGTGGAAGATCGCCCTCGAGTGCCCGAAAGGGGACGTTGTTGAGGTGACGATGGCTCCAGTTGCGTTGCCGTTGACGCAGCTGATGGTGCGGGGCCGTTTCGTTTATTTCTAATGGCATGGAATTCGATTGCAGTTGAGGTCACACATGTGGGCGCAGGTCAGGGCTATTAGGAGCAGGGATCGAATTAGTGGCTAATCAAGGTGAATACGTTTGACGGCATTATTGTGCTTTGTCATCTTTTTCCTTTATTATGGTCTTTAATGTCACCAAACATCGGTTGAATCCGGACGATGTGATTAAAGCTTCTTTGCTTTACAAAAAGAAAATAACACAACTGCAAAGTACCGGGACACAAGAGTGGAAAGTACCAAATGAAAATAGTTGAAACAGTAATGATTTGTGTGATAAGCTACTCAAAATATTGATTCATGGCGTCCAAAGAGACCCTTATTTGGATTTACTTTGCTCAGGTCAACTTAAACGTGACAGATAAGACAACTTAGTCACAGCAGCATCAATGGGGCAAGCCATGGCGGCCACTGGTGATAACCCATAGAGGCTCGAATTTTCTATTTTCCTACCATGAAGAAAAAGTTTTTCTAATGCTGATTGTTGACATTAAACTGGCTTTCACAGTTGAGATATAACCGCCATCAAGCAAATGTGATTATGGAAAGACCACGATTCCATATCAAATCGTCTCAAAACAACCAGCGTCGCAAATGAGAGGAAGTGGAGAAATTAGTTGACATCTAAAGCCAGCTTCAAATTGCTAGTTGCAATGAAGTACTACCATGCAACTAGTAAGGTGATACCAGGCTGATGTGAAAATGGAAGCTTGGTGGTATTAACTAGCTTGCAACTAGCCAGCATTATCCATCACATAACCTTATTTTTCACTCCTTTTCTCCCCAAATTGAAAGTGCCTTAAAATGCCTTCCCTAATCATATTTTCGCAAAACTGGTTTAAGTTGGTTTCACTCGACTTAAGTGTCAGAGCTGTCACCACTCCTGTTGTTGACATCTGATTATGCAAACCAGTACACACAGACTTGATGAAAACAACGTAAAGGCCCCTCACCTCTGTGGACTGGCCTCGGGCGAGCTGCAATTGTCGAGGTACCAGAAAGTGGAGCTCACACCAGGACCAGAAGGGGGTGCCTTTACAGTATCCGCAGAGCTGCGTCGATGACGTGAGTCACCACCGGTGCCAGGATCAACACCAGTAGCTGAGGTCTCCACGAGACGAGGGCGAACGTCAAGGGAAGAGAAGGGAAGGGGATCGGCTAGATTGTACTTTGCGCAGAACTCCTGAGGATCAAGGCAGTAATTTTGCAGCACACCTATCTGGTCCGCTTTACCAGCAACGAAGAGACAGGGAACGCGAGTGCCACGATAAAAGTTCTGTAAACCAAGAAATTTGCTTGTTTACCACTTCACAGCCATCTCGGTTTCTTATGCCAGTTTAAGGGAACAAGTGCATAAAATGATTTCGTAAATCACACTTAGAAGCAACGTAAGTACGGTTAAAAACCGCTTGAACGGGTATTACAAGTGTAAGAATAGGACGCAATGTAAATAAGAAAAGAATGCCAAACATTAATGACAGGAAAACGCAACCTAAGAAATAACTAGTTCAGTGTAAAACTAACCAAAAGCCTCATGGTACCAAATAGGCCTGAAAGTTTTGAATACTTTTAATCTAGCAAAGAATGCCTGGTAGCAAATGAGGATAAAACACCGTAGGCCAAAAATATCGCCAGCATTCCTACTGCTAACTGCATTGGTAATAAGTTTCGGCGAATTCGCTGTGATCGAATAACGGTGAAGAATTAATGAACGATATGCAATGAACTAAGGCAAGTGTGATTATCTACGTCCTCTAGTGGAGAAACCCACGAATCAGACCAGTATTTATTGCTTTCAGCAACAATATAATCATCTGTGGATTTTCGCTTTCTCATTTACCAAGCTCATAAAAATACTTTTGTAAAGGTGTCAGGTGCTTAATTGTTCCTCAGTACATCATCGATTTGCACTTGCCTATATAATTTATTCGGTAATTTGTTGATTGACCGCGTAAGACAGCAAAGTAATGACCAGGGCATCATATGACACCAACGGGATGCAGCCAACACAAGTACGCTGAACGTATAAAGCCTCGCCTTACGGCATCCAAGACATGTGAGTGAGCAACTCGGGGATCATTATTTAGACAAAAACAGCCAGGAAAGCCAGAGTGGTTTCAGAATCGCGCTAACTAACTTTTCTAATAACGATCACCAACAATCTTAGAAGCAGGAATCTCTAACACCCGGACAGACGAAATGTGATGAGTAATCCGGAACTGATAATGGAGTGACTCATTTCGCAGTAAATAATCACGACCTTCTTAAAAAATTGATACACAGAAGAGCCCACTCGAATGCCGCCAAAAATACGCGGAGTGCTTTTGATTTGGAAATTGATGGAAAGTCCGATGAGAACTGTAATAAGGCTGCAAGATAGTGTAAATAATGAATGTCGGAGATTCATAAATCCACGAAACGGCTCTATAAATTGAATCGGCGAATAGTCGGCAAAGTGCAATTCTCAAAGTGTACCTACTAGATGTGATTAAAACATGGGAAATACCGACATTTAGAAGGGTTGAAGAGTGATGAAAACGCTTAGTCATATCCATGCGTGGCCATCACGACATCTAGCCATCTGACATTGACGTCATCTTTCAGCAGCATAAGGGAGGAAGGCGCCGTTAACATTCGAGTCCCGAAAGTCGCACACGCCGCAGATGTTGAAACAGGTTCGTCACTGAAAGTCCGAGGCTTTTTGGCGAATATTACGGCCTCATGCAACCATTGTGACAAAGTATCAAGCAACTGAAATGCCTGCGCAAGCGACCACATAGGAATGGGATAATGATACGTTACATTTGGGACCCAAAAATTACCTGGAACTGTACTGCAACGCTCAAATCAAGGAGCTAATTAAAGCTAATTAAAGGCATCATTCAAGAGGAAGTCGATTATCCACTAAAATAGAAGAGTGTCCAACTAAATATTTGTAAAACCCACATGCTCGCACCTTTTTCAATTGAAAGTGCAAAAGAAGTCTCCCCAAAGGAGCAGAATCACCCATAACAAAACGAGCATATCTTTGGAGGCCGTAGGCGTTTCAGGTTGCAAAAGAGGTGCCGCTATGGAAACAGTAAAATAGCAATAGCAAGCTAAACCTTGGAAACCGGAATACTTTCAGTTAAACAAAGGAATGAAAAAAAAAGGAATTAAATCACAGGACTATAAGGACAAAAAGAGTAAAAGATGAACGAGTTAGTGGCTAAACTAGTGAAAAAGCAACTGTTTACATTGCTAATAATATCGTAGACTCTGCTAACTATAAAATGTTTCGATCAAAAAAGATGAAGTACACTATTGAAAGAATAGAATGAATAAGCTGGTAAATCCATGAAGCATGCATGAATTAGAAGGCAATGGCCAAGGTGGGTAAAGAGGCTCAGAAAATCAAGGGCCAGCAGCAAGTCACACAGCGAAAGAAGATTTGGTGCAACAGGTGGGCGAATAACTTTGCAATCAAGGGAATAAACTAGCAATTTATCAAACGAATTGCAAGAGACCAAAACAATCACAGATAATCATGATTAAGAAGGACCGGCAATACACACCAAAAAGATATTGGCCACATAACGGAAGGAGTCTGCGTCGGTGACGTCATAGAGGAGGCAGGCAACGTCGGCGGAGAGGGCTTCACCTGCTGTCATTTGCTCCCCATGGCCTGCACTCACCTCGTGCAGTATCAGTGTTCGCAATTTCCCGCACACGGGCAGTCCCGTCGCTGCCGTCCACGCCGCTGTCCGTCCGCTGGCTCCACCCACCGCATACCCTCCGCGGCCTCGCAGACCACGACCCAGCAAACCCTGCAGCAGACATGTCTGCCGAACATCAACAAAAGAGTGGGTTAATGAGAGCTAACGACTGCGTTATCAGCTTAATAATTTTCAGATCAGAATCTCAATTCGTTTATGTAATGCCACATTAGTGAGATCAAGAAACTACCCGTGTCCTCAAGTGTTTAATCACCAGCAGGTCCCGCCGCTATCACCATTTCGGATGAATGGGAGGATAGTGGAAGTGAAATCCATCTCAGCTTGTTAATCTCTCACTAGAAAATTCCTTTTGTTGGTAAATAATAAACATCCAGGTTAATTACGCTTAATTTTATTAAAATACAGTGGATCAGGGTTTTGGTATGATAAGAGAATGAATGGGTTAAAAGGCGTACAAATCCAGAAAAACAAAACGACAATGTCACCTCTCCCATAAAGCTTGTGTGAATCATTTCCCGGTAGAGAAAGATGGAAAACATTGTAGTCCAGATGGGACCTCAGTCCGTAATTCCAGTTTGAAGAAGTGGGTGACTATAAGGGCGTCAGATGTGAGTCCATTAATTCACTAGACCTAAACGCCCTTATAATTCCTCTCAATAGTCAGTTCCATACATTGACGAAAGAGGTGCTTCCATCACCAAAAAATTCTTTAGTGTTGAAATAATAATTTCCTTTCAACAAAAGAAACGATCCCAATGGCGAACCAGACTCAATAGATTACATGAAATTCTACGAATACATTGATTTGTTCTTTGTGTCAGTAAACCCCAGTATCAACTAGGCATTCTGACTACAAGAGTTAAATTGTTCCAAAGGTACCTAAACTGAAAATCTCAGCAAGGATAAACTCACCTGCAGTAAATTAGGAGTACAAGAAATAAGTCTGTTAAAATAATAATCCATATAAACGCTCCAACGCTCACTAAATAGATAAGGTGTTGATAGCAAAGAGTAACTAAAAGAGTCAGACGAACCTTCCCAACTTTTCTACTCCCATAGACTCGACAGTAAAAGACCGTCCGACTCGTATGACCCCGAATATAGTCCATTCGGCGTTCCGAAGTTACAACTAGCCCGCGCAAGAGGTTATCCGTTGAGTTACTCAAGCAACCACATGGGGCGACCTGGGGCACGTTTGGATTGGTAATGGAAGTGCCAAAGCCGAAGCTTGGATTTGGTCCAAAGGCCAGATAATCTCTGTCGGGTAGAAGACACACTCCTGCCTGATAGGTAAAACCTAAGTAGGCCAAGTACTCCAAGGCTTGACTGGGTTCCAACAGAGCCGTTAGCCTATTTTGAAAGTAGAAGAACATTTGATATAAAAATAAACGGTTAGGATAACCGAATGAAAGTCTCATAGCGTTTATTACAAACCGTGAAATGAAGCAAACGGAATTCATTTCTCAAAATGGAGCTTCGGTATTGATGGAAAGGTATGAAAACAGGTGCCCCAAGACACCTTATGCGCATATCACCGACCCGAAGGAATCAAAATCCTACCATTCCATTCAGCGACTCCAAAAACGGTAAACACCATTTACATTCTGTGCTTTTCGAGCCAATAACCTAGGAGTTCAACCTTCTGTTCACAATTACACCACTGTTGGTTAAGTCCAAGCTACCAGTCAGTCCTTCATCATGTGGTTATGCGATAATTCCCTCCCTTAAGAGAAGGATGTCAAGCTGTCCACCATTTGGTATTCACACATCAGCATTCACGTTTTGGGAAACAATGGTCGTAAGACAAGTGTATTGTCGGACAAATTAACCACTGCTCCCTATGTTTGCACAACTTCAGTACACTATAGAACTACTACTACTCAGAAAAGACAGTGCAACTAGGCACAAAAGAGGCAAATTCAACCAATTGATATGAGTCATCTAAGGTCTATTTGTGACAGCTAATGAAGGAAAGAGAAGCCAGGACAGACCACCACCTCTCTTAATGACGTTAGTCCTTATTGCTCCCTTCTGCCCTCTCTCCACGACGAGGCCGTAAACTACCATTTGATAGTGGCAGCAAATGATTTAATCAACTGTTTCTCATGTGAGAAAGAACAAAGACTTACGCCCAGTGGGCCATGAAACCACGGCGTGTAACCCAGCCCCTGCAGTTGGTCTCCTCGCAGAGACCAAAGTCCTCCACACCCATACCAGCACTACCACCAGCGGACAGTCGAACTCCCTCCTCCTCCGGACACGTAGCTAGCAGCTCAGCCACCTCGGTCGGACTTAGGCACTCATCGCCGTCCTGTGTGCGATCCAAAATGAAAATTTAATTTAGTAAAGGAAGGACCACACTTCACAACCAGCCTTTGAATGAAATGCGCTAAACTATTTCCCTGACATTACAAAAAGAACTCATGTTAAAGGGGATTCATTGTCAATGACTGAGCCAATTACTTGAAATTCGCTGATTTACTATGGTTAATCAAGGTGGCGTTTCCAAGGGCAAATTAAAGTAATGTGAGCAGCTTTCAGGACAGATTTCAAAGAACAATAAGGTGTAATTTCAAGAAACACCTTATGATTACTTTGGGCAAAAGCCGTAAAACCGACTACAGATGGAATTTGTAAAATGAATGGTGAATTTGATGAAGAGAGCAAGACTACGTGAAATGGTTAAATCTGCGATGAGACTCGTGCATAGCCAATATTTTCCTTCGTGAAATTCTGAAAATGCCACTAAAGTGCTAGCGTTTTTAAGCCTTTGCTCTTACTTGCAAATACATAGAAATTATTTAAAAACCTAGTTCACCGATGTGGCCAATATGTAAAAAATAATCATCGTCGGTTAGGAAACCATGAAATACAAAATACTATTAAAGGAATATGTATGAGCATTAGTTTAGGATATAAAACAACAAAGGAATGAACACTGTCACCTCTGGGATGTTTATAGGCTACGGGGAGTGGGGTAAAGATTGAGATTTGGGAGACTCAGAAGAGCTTAACGCATAGAAAACACTACCCAATGAAGATGCAGTGGTGGAATGGGTGTGCGGAAACACAAATCTATGGTCTGGATTTACGAACTTCATGATACGTCGATGTGTGTAAACACTTTGTTCTCTAGGTGCTGGGAAGTGGGTGACATGTATTGTCATCTGTGCGACTTACACGTGGTCTAAAGTCTTTCCCACTGTGCATGACAACTAATGTTAAGCATCGAGAGGCATAAAGGTAATCAACATGGCATAACCTCATCACTTCCAACAGCTATGCCGCTGCTCATTACAGATGCACTTCAATCACCATGATTTCAAAGAGTTCCGTGTTCCTTTACAATTCTTGCTCTCGCCTCATCATCATAGCTCGGAGAATGACAAATAAAAAAAGCTGCAAACATGAAGTCATCAGTAAGCACTTCAAGTAGAGTATGAAAATAAACAGACTCAGATTCGCGCCCTTACCAAGGCATGAATTTCGAAAGTATAGTTGAGAGAGACGAAAGAGCAAGAATCAAATTTCCAAGTGTTACAAGTTCTGATGCAAAAAGGAGAAAGACTTCCACAGCAGATGATAAAATGCATTCTTGCAGCATTCGCAAAATTTTACATCTCCTTTTGGTACAAGAGTCAATATGCCAACTAAAAAGCCACAATCTTTGCTATTTTTAAGCAGCATTGTTTAAATCCCAAGCCAACAGTAAATTTAAAGAACTAGACGACTTAAAAATATACCTTTTTAGCTATCAACAAAATTACTAGTGCACATAGAACACAGTACATTGAAACATGTCAAAATTGATGAAAACCGTTTTGCAAAAATCTGAAGCAAAAGCTCCTTTTAACTGGGGATTGAATTCAAAAGAATATGAAAACAAAGGATAGACTTTGGAGAAGGCCAACCGACTGTGATCTGTTCAAAATTACTGCTTAAAAGACTAATTTAGGATCCAGCAAGGGTTGAGCCAGATCAAATAACCGTTTAGAAGATAAAAGCTATTGCAATTAGAGGAGACAGTCCACAAAAAAAGAATGATGATAGTTGAGAAAATTGGCTGGCAATTTCCTCCCCTAGCCCAATGAAAGAGTAACACCGATGGCTTCACCAGCAAATAAAACATTAATTAAACTTAGCATTAAATGGACACACAAAAGTTCGTCTCAATTCAAATCAAACTCACGATGTCATATTTGGTGAATATGGTGTGAAGAAAGTGAATGCCAGCTGGAGACAGCTCGGTCGAGCAGCCCGATGGAACCACTAGTTTAGGGTAGAGGAAATCGTGGGAGAGACGCAGGTTATTGTCATACCCAAACTGCCGCAGCACCGCCCACGTAGTCTCATGACGTCCTTTGCGGATGAAAATCATGTGTAAGAAGAGAAAACCTAGTGAGGGAAGGCGGAAGCCAAGAGTTAACAAGACTAGTTACTCATAGAGAAATCAGTATAAACTAACATTCACCCCAAGGCAAAGAGACTACGCTCTATGCATCAAAACGAGAAAATGAGCACTTCTGTAAGGGACGATTTCGCAATTTCGCAGCCGCATTTGCGAACTTATAAGGGCGTCTCTGAGAGCTCGAGCTTACCTAGCATAAACAATATTTGCAAAAAGACAAGTTTAGCCATTAAACCAATGCTCTTCTTGCAATCGGTCTGAACGCTCCAAAGAATACGAAATTCTCAAAAATTTTTTTTGAAATCGAACTGGTAGTGATACCTAACGTTACCACTGGCAGCATTGACACTGTACTTCTTAGAACTAAAGGTACGGTTTTAGAGACATGATTGAACCAGTACCTCCTGCGCAAATTTCAAACTAATGAAAAAAAAGGAGCTCAAAAGTATCAAACTAAGCTAAAACTGCAGGTGATCAGAGACAGTGGCACAAAAATGGCAAAACCGATGACAAAGTATCCTTCGTAAAAAGCATTTTCTTCGCATTTAAGCTTGGTAAGCCCAAAACAATCGTCGAAAACGTCCAGAGAATAAAAGGCTGTTAGGCTAATAAAGTTTTCAAGAACGAGGAATAAGCGAACCGATTAAGATAGTTTCTTAAGCTAAAACAATCTATCATCCCCTGTTGGCGAGACAAAAACCTGTCGCGACTTTCCTGATAATCAACCCTTTGGCTTGTTATGGCATGCGATCAAGGAAAAGGTGATAACAAGAGAAATAGAGATGAAAATGCAAGAAATAAGGATGATGAGCCGTCCTACAAATGCCTAAAATCCAAGTATCTTCGCGATCAATTTCCTCTGCAATGGAGTATTTACTTTGCAAAGACGTTGCCCTTGTCGATGTCGGCTTTATTATACGATCCTTTGACGTAGTGAGTAATATGGGTTTTAGTCCCCCATGCGCGACCGTCTCAGATAATGCAGGATTAAAGGAAGCTTGCAGCGCCCCCAGAAGTTATTGGTCCACTAACTTCAGCGAAGGGCAAAGTGCTAATTCAACTATTATTTTGCGTCTGATTGAGAGTATAAAAACGACATTAAATCACGAACTTGAATCACGCTCCAACCTTATCCTGCAGTGAGTCCTATCTCAAGCCTCATTCTCCGCAACCTCGAAGTAAACGAGAATGGTATAACCATGCAGAATATTTTGTGTCATCTCTTAATTAATAACGTTGAAAAGTGAGAGAACTTCAGAAGGGATTACAATGCTTGTGAAAGTAATATTTACGCATAAGAAGCGTCAGGGAACCGCGTGTAAATGAAGTTAATCACTGAAATCTAATAAGTAGTACTATTGAATACATAGGAATAGAGGTTTGAGTAATGCCAGGTGACTTAAAAGAAGTGTCAGCCCTAGGTAAAGTAAGATAAAGATCTATAGATATTAAATCTAGATCCTCCTTGAACAAGCGTTCACGGATAAACAAACAAGGACAGTAAGGAGAGCAGCTATCAAAAAAGTTGAAGATAGGAAAGGTATTTCGCAATGCTTAGCGCTTCCATTCACACTTTGGCTTTTCTCCTTCATTCTGTAAGTTTACGACAAACCCGCTTCGAAGTCTTAGTCCATACGGTCTTTTCAGTGGCATCTAAAAGACAATGGCTAACAAGAGCTAACTCTGCGGAGACCCATTAGAGATTACCTTTATCTTGAAGAACAAATTATATATA